ATTCTGTGTATGTGATTATGAACAAATTGTGTATAAACATTTACCAGTAGTTATAGAGTGAACATAGTTTCATTGCTCTCGTGTAGTTGTTGGATCACTGACTCTTATAGTTTATGTGTTTCCTTATTAGACAGAAGTCTTTCATGATATCTATTTATTGAAATTTATTGAATTTTTCAGTTCGTATTGTTCTATAAATTTGTCCACTTCATCTAAGTTGTAAAATTGTAATATTGTCATCTTATCCACTTAATGTCTGTAGGACTTATACACCTGTTTCTCTTTTATTTTTGTGTTTTCTTTTGTTTTCTTTCCTTTTTGTGTTACTCTCTAGAAATTTATCAGTCATATTGATAACTTAAAACTCCAAATTTTGGTGATACTGATTTCCTGTTTTTGAATTTCATTGATTTTTGCTACTGCGTATTTTGTTTCAAATTTAGTCTTTTTTCATAACACTGAAAGTGAAAGTTATATAATTGACTTGAGACATTCTATTTTTATAGTATAAGCATTTAATACTATAAATTTCTCTAAGCATGGATTAAACTGCATCCTGAACATTTTCATGTGTTATATACTTCATTGTTCAATTTTAAAAGTTCTCTAATTTATTATTTGACTTCCTTTATTCCCTAAAAGTTATCTAGAAATAGTCTTCTTTATAAAATAAAAGAATACTTGGAGATTGGCATATATCTTTCCATTATTAGTTGTAATTTCACTCTTTTGTCATTCAAGAGCATTATTGTTATTGTTTCAAGATTTTAAAATTTGTCAGGGTTTGTTCTATGGCCCAAAATAGAGTTAATCTTGCTACGTATCGAAATAGCACTTAAAAAGAATGTTTGTTCTGGAGTTACCAGGTGCAGTGGTCTATAATATTAATTAAGTTGATTGGAAATGCTGGTTATTTCTTGCTGATTTTCTGTCTACTTGCTTAATTGCTTACTGAGTGAAGAATGTTGAAGACTCAACCATGATAGTGGATTTTTCTTTCTTCTCAAAGCTATCATTTTTTGCTTCCTAAATTCTGAAGATCTGTTGTAAGCTGCATACAATTTAAGGCTGGCAGCTTTTCTTGAAGAATTGACCCATTGATTTTGTGGCATCTCTCTTTAGTTTGGGAAAGTTCCTTGTTCATAAGTCTAATATATCTGCTTTTAACATGGTCACTCCAGCTTTGTTTCCATTAGTGTTTGCAGGCCATACCTTTTGTTATATAATTACTTTTAATCTCATGTATGTCTTTGCCATTTTAAGTGAGAATCTTATAGATTGTGTATAATGCAGGATAGATAAGCATGGAGTTTTTCTTCGATCACGGTACCTTTGGGAAATATGAGAGTGATCAGTTCATTTAAAGAGATGAAAGAAGACAGATCTGGGAACAGGGAAACAAGCTCTGAAGTGATTAAAGAAATAGAGAAATCTGTCCATGTACAGAAGCAAGGTAGGATTACCGAGTTATGACCAGAGGTGTTGAGCAAGCAAGCTACATAGGCATTGAGTGAAAGTCCAAGCAGAGTCCTGCTTCCAGCTGGGACGTCCAAGTTTGTATTGGAGATCAAGTCAGAAGGAGTTCAAGGCCAGAGAATCTACAGCAGCCACTGAGCAGAACTGAAGGAGGCTGGAACTCTACCGTGCTATAGTGCAGAATAGGGAGCTAGGTTTCTGGGAAGGTGAGTGTAGCTACTGATGAAGTATGGCACTAAACCAGCCCAGGTCCCTGACGTCAGAGATGTTACAGTCCCCTGGGGGACATGGAAGAGGGTGAGCAGAAATGACCATCAAAGCTTGTACAAGAAATAGTAAATCCAAACTGACAAACACGTAGGGAGGCACAAATTTTTTTTATGAATCAGTATTAGGGTGATTTGGTTCAGGCAGAGATCAGGAAAACGTTTTCCAGTAGCCAAAGGTTGACAGACAAGCTGAAATGTTAGTGGCAGCTCAGAAGGTCAGGGAAGAGTGGTCCAAGTAGAAGTGGCTAACGAGAGCATAGCTGTAATACCCAGTGAGGCCAGTGTGCAGAGGAAGTAAGGGGAGAGCTATTCCAGGTGATGCTGGTGATATATACAGGCACAAACTCACAGTGAGGCATCTGCATACTATGGAAAAGTGTCCTAGGAAGTAGGTGTGAAACTCTGTGAGGAGGTTAGTCATTATATGGAGATTGGGAGTGAGGATGAGAGTGATGGGAAGAGTATGTTGGGGTGTGTGATATGATCCAACTTAGAAATTCCTTTGGCTGCCCTAGGGGATGAATTGAAGGAGAAAATGTGATGTAGATTACAGGTTATTTCAGATGTAGTGGTAAGAAATGTGAAAGCTCAGATGTGGAGATTGTCTGCAAAAGTAGAGAGGAATAAGTTAAAGGGATATTTAAGAGATAAAGCCAAGAAATCTTGGTGATGGATTGGACATAGTGGGAGAAAGATATCAAGCCTTCAGCTTTTGGTTCATGCAAGCTTTTGGCTAGGAGGAAGTTGGGGGAATCATGAGCGTAATTCTAAATATATTGAATTTAAGGGCCCTTGAGACACCCAAAAATTATTGCCAAAAAATAAGTCAACGTTTAGAATTAAGCTCAGTGGAGAAATTAGAGATAGAGATTTGAATTTAGGAGCCTAATGTACAAGACTGTGACTGAAGTGATGTTATGGATGGTGATGCTTAGGGAAGAATTGGAAAAGAACTAAGTGGTCAATATCTCAGAAAGCTCCTGCATGTGTAGAGGAAGTCAATCAAATATCTAAGAATGCTTGGGCTTTATTGATGTGGGCATTATTTCAATGCCAGTGAGCACCATTTGGTGGAACAAACCACTGAACTCCCATTGAAATAGGGAAGGGTACAATGGTAGGTGCAAAATCTGAAATAGCTGGTGCGAACAGCCCTTTGAGATGCTGGACAGAGAATAGGATGTGCAGAAGGGCAGAAGTTGGCGGGAGAATAAGATTAGTGAAGGGGAAGATCAGCATTATTATTTGAAATGCTTTAGTGAAATTGAACAGCTTTTAATGACCATAATCAAAATTCAGCTTTGAGAATAAATAGACTGTGCAAGAGAACCAATGTTCATTAAGTCATTTTCCTGTGCCACTCCTTAATTGGTAATTGGTTTTTGGCCATGACATATTTACTCATTAATTCTGATGGTTCCTATTTAATCATGCTTTAATAATTCTCTTAGGACATGGTTGAAAAGAATCCAAAGAGAGACCTTAATTCCTTTTCATAAATTGCCTGTATGAGCTAGAACAACTACAAGAAGGGTCTTTTTTAAATCCATTTTTATTTTACATTATTAAGTGTGCATCCTATAGTGGAAATCACACTCAAGAGAAAGGAATTTTGCAAACCCTACGTTTCTCTCTTTTTTGGCCTCCTAGTATAATCACAAGCAACTACATTCATCAGCATATTTTACTTATGTATTTAAAAAAGGTGAGATGTGGGCCACCCCGTGCAGTGTACGACATGCCCTTCAAGCTAACTTTAAAAGGTGACTAATTATAGTGGTGTCTGTTCAGTTTCAAAACTTCAAATTAAATGTACTTCAAAAAGCTTATCAAAAAGAATATATTTTACATGACTGTCACTTGTGAGAGGGGCTGATTTGAGTAAAAAATATGGAAGAGATCAAGCTAATCATTAGAGCCTGCTACTCTCCATTGAATGAACAGATCTTCTAATACCCATTGAGTGATCCCACCTTAAGCACTCCGTAACTCTCCACAAGTTCTGTGATTTGACAGGAATGATATAGTTCAATGTTGGAAAGGCCTTTTAGAGCTCAATGAAGCATGAAAGAATACAATTGAGTCACAGTGAACACAGAGTTTTGGAACGCCACCAGTATAATTCAATGTCTACCTTAGTAAGGGTCAGTAAGATATAGCCCAGAAGCCAAGCCCAGCCCAATACCTGTTCCTGTAAATAAAGTTTGATTGGAATGCAACCACAGCCATCTATTTACATATTTATGTGTGGCTTTTTTCCCTCTATATCCATACTGCAATAGTTGCCACAGAGACTGCATAGCTTGCAAATTAAATTCACTACTTGCCCCCTTAAAATGCCCACCCTTGGATGCTAATCCTTGATGCTCTTCAGATTCATTTCTTTCTCTTAAAAAAAAAAAAGTCCATGTTGCTGGATCATACCCCCAACCTTCTCATCCCTTATCTTTCGGGATGGGATCCAGGAATCAACAGACATAGTAAGGTGATTTTATGCAAAGTCAGGTGGAAGGTCCCTGGATTACATTGCACTGCCTCGAAAACATGTTGCCTTGAAAACACATTTCAAGCTGTAATTGAATTTTCATGTGAGCTGTGAGCTTGGGAAAAGCTCTACAAAGAAGCACCTCAGAAACTATCCTTAGTATCAGATTCTACTGCAGTTGCTTATTCACACTTAAGATGGCTTGGTCCTACCCACAGAGCTTCCGGCCGGCAGGTCTTGGGAGGAAGAGCTAGCATTCTGAACAGGCTGGTAGCAGTTCTGATGCCGAAGCCTGGTGGAACACACATAGAACTGCCCTAGAGCAAAAGGGCTCACACCTCTCAATCTAAGAGCAGGTCCTACGGATTGTGGGATGGCGTTGGGCATGGAGTTATGGGACAGCCGCTGGGACTGTCCCAGGGCATGGTGAAGAGACCACTGCTTCTTTAGTGTTGGTCATTGCTCTCCCCTCCTCCATCCCAACTATAACTATTGACACCAAGCAATCTTTGCTCTAGGTTTGTACTCCTTAATTGGCTTTCTATCATTGTGTTTTAAAATTCCTTGCGGAATATTTTTCATCTTGTAAAATAACTTTATTGTAAAGGGAGAGGGGTGATAGTAAATATGAGACAGTTTTAAATGTTATAGAAAATGAACTGTGTGTCACAAAATCGTACGGAAAATGAGCAGAACTTGAAAACGTACTTGTGAAAAACATAAATATAAAAACACACGATGAAAAACCTACAGACACAGGTAGAGACTTGTTTTGGTGCCACAAAAATGATTTTATTTTGAACCAGGAAGCAACAGCAATCAAGAGAATAGTCTGGACTGGGGGCGTGGCAGTGTGACTCAAGTATCAGGGGTTGAGTTTGTCCAGGTGCAAGGTGGCATAAAGAAAGCCGGCTTCTCATTTCCAAACTAAGTTCACCCAGACCGTGGTACTTCTCAGTGACTCCCTCTTGCCCAGGTCTGGCTTGCTCCATAGATTTTAGATTTTCATAACCATTTTATAAACATTCTTGAAAGTGAAGGAGCCACTGCAGTGAAGGTTTTGAACTGATGATTCCCCTTTTTCTTTCTTGCTTTTTGCTTTATTGGGCACTGAATCATTTACTAAAAGACTAAAAGACATTTATAAGAGTTTTGCATTTACAAAAAGCGAATAATCAAGAGTGCTTGAATGAAGAGACTTCAAGCTAAGTCTCTTAAAATTTGGGCCAGATAACTCTTTGTGGTGGGGACTACACTGTGTGCTACAGGATGTTTAAAGCCATCCCGGACCTCTACCCACTAGATGCCAGTAGCGTGGTTTCCCCAGGTTTTGACAATCAAAATTGATTCCAGACATGGCCAAATGTCTCCTTGGGGGCAAACTGAAGCCCTGGATGAGAAGCACTTGTTTTCAATAAATTGCGCCTGCTGTCACCGTTGTCTTTGTATGCTTTTCGATGTTTTATCAAGGAAGACCAAGTGTCAGCTTTCCAACACCAAATACACATGAACGTGAGCAAACAGGCACGTGTCTCTGTAGGCACTGCACATGCGCCTGGAGCTGGGGTGGAATTTCATGTTGAATGGAGGGCACTAGTTCAGTTGCTCAAGAAGCTTACGGTCAACATATCAGTACCATAATAAAAAGCCCCTCTGTACTCAAGCCGTTTCTTCTTCTCCAGCAGAAAACTTCATCAGTGTTTGCAGTCAGTTATTGAAGTCATTTTCTCTTAAAGCTGGAAAGACAATGTTCAGCAAGGCCCACCCTCACCTTCATCCATGTTTTCGATTCCTACTTGAACAATATGGCCAGCAACTTTCAACTTTGGATCCAGATTTATGCATTTCTATCCACTAGGAAAAGAGGTACCATGTTTCTGAGTTCCATTATGAGGACTGGCTACAAAACATGCAGAGCCCATATAAAGTGAAAATGCAGGCCCCTTGTTTGAATATTATTAAGAATTTTTTGACAGTGAAAGGAGAACATCAAACCAAGCTTAGGGCCCTTCAGAGCCCAGGGCTCTGGGCAAGGAGCCATTCGCACACGCATGATGCCAGCCCTTGCAACCTTGACTGGCATTCCATCAATTCTGTTCTGCCATCTCTTTTGTCCCTATATCAAAATGCTTCCTGTGAAGACACTGAAAAATAAAATATTTTGACCTTAATCCATTTAAAGAGAATGCATAATTATACTGCAGCAAATGTTTACAGCATATATTTTTTAGACTTTCAAAAAATCCACATGGGAATACTTTCTACATCATTACAGTTATTAAAGTAAACACTGTAGCCTCTCACCATACACACATTTTCCTGTAAATATGACAACCTGGAAATAGTAACTGCTACATCCACATTTTTAAGTTAGCCAAGAGTGAGTCTTCCACAACAAAATTATAACATAATCTGTCTTGTCCTTATAAAAATAGCCAAACACACCCTACACAGCTTGCAGTGAAAATCCGAGTAGTAACATCTTGATATTAAAAAACATTATATTCATGGAAATAGTGTCCTTCTAGTAAAATGCTTTATGTTAGCATCGTAAGGCAAACTGCAGTATTTATTGGTACCTGGAGACTGATTTTAAAAACTCAGAAATTGAGTTTTAGACCCTTTTATTTAGAACCTGTAAGTGTACAAAGTGCATTAAAATATCCATTATCCAGTTACCCAAAATGTACATAAAAATTATTGAGGCAACCCTTTTGGTTTATTCAGAGGAGGCAAACACACAGGGTTTTCATATTGTAAAAAAATCGCATTAAGTTGCCAGAGAATGATTAGTTTCTTTCTCCATTGAGGTGTCCATTTTTAAATGTGATACTGTCTTAAGTAGCTATCAAAATATTCATCTGGGTATAAATAATATAGTAAATATATAGAATCTATCCATTAAGAAAAAGGACAGCATTTCCTAAGGAAGAAACAGAAGGACCCAGGAAACCAGCTTGGTCTTTCTTGAAGTCCAGATTGGCAATGATATCAGCTTTGGCCATGTGATGCTGAAACAATAGGCCTATTGACTTATTTCAGGGAAACAACTGGTTGATCTGGCTTAAAAAATTACGAAAACCAAAATAAATCCACCTGACTGTTCAGTTAATGGCTGATCTGGTAGCCCAGATAAATATTTTAGCAATTGAAACCATTTATAGAGGTCACACACATGATCAAGACAGAACCAATGCCTAAGTCCCAGTCCAAAGACCAATTGAGAAAGCCTTAGTTTAGGGACCATTGCAATGTGTTGGATCAGCATGCAAAGAATCTCATCTGACATTTATTTAATTAGCAAGTTCTATTAGCATGTTCCTGTGTGGAAATAGTGAGTTGGATTTTTTTTTTCATATTACAAGTCTATAGTAAACTATACTATACAGGGACTTCTACAATTTTCAAGATGTGTTTAACAAACACATGTTTATAATAACTTTTGAGGCATATATACTAGTGAACAGTACTTTATGTAATGTCCCTTGTCTTTACTAACTCATAAATATTAAGTGTTTTTCGGTGATCTATATTTGGATGTGGTAGTGCTGATTGGGGCCATGTGCTAATGTCCCAGAGAGCAAAATCAATCCAAAGTGGTGTTGTCATTTATGACAGTACATGTTTATTTCCTTAGCTCCAGAGATAAAAGAAAACTTGACTTAGGGAAGGAGAAATAGGTCAACTATTAAATGTACTGAAGAAATTTCACAGCTCTAAGAAAACTATTAGGAGGAAGAATGCCATGAAACAAAATCCTACTTCTGATAAAACACAAACCAGCCTGAATTTTTGATTAATCTATGTGATTCAAAGTGACTATTTTCAATTTTGATTTCATTCATAATGTTAGCTCACAGTCCTTAGCCCTGCAAGAAGTAGGGAAACATATGGGCAAAGGTTCCGGAACTTTTCTTTCCAACATTTTCCTATCAGCTATCACAAGGTAAAGATTATGCCACGGCTGAATTTTGAGATCCAAAGTCAGTTAATTACTTCCATTCTCTCTCACTCACTCTCCATTCTAGTTGATCCGATACATGTTTTTTGACATTATACTTAAAACATTTCAAGTTAAACCAGAGAAAGAAAGCCTGTTTACTTCCCTACTAAGTTCAAAATTATTTTTATCTTTAAACAGCTGCATATTCTGCTATGCACTGTCGAAGTGATAGGACCTACCATGGGCTCAGTATGAAATACTATGTGAGAAGGTGATTAAACGTACAAATCTACAAAAGGTGTGTGTGTTGTTGTTTTTGCAGCCCCACAGACTGTGATGAAACAAAACTTGTAAGAGCTGGTAAACTGACGGGCTGCTTAATGTGCAAAACCAATTCCTAAGAGTTGTAATCCCGATTACATTTCTTTTTATAAATAATCTATAGATTTTCCTCTAAATACAAAAAAAATTTAAAGAAATTATTAAAGCCTGCCCTTAGTAGAAAACACAGTAAAAGAAATCTATTTTGAGCCCTGTGTTAGCTGATTTCTGGACACTTTCTGGGGACATTTAATCACACTCTTGAAGCCTGTGTTTTCTTCATTGCCTAAATAGTGGCCTCAAACTTTGTTATTCCCCAGAAAGCAGCTCTGATGGCCAGATGCTCAGGGCAGCTGCTCTGTGCAGTCCAAATGGTCTGGGATAGGAAGACCAGTTATAATCGTCAAACACTTGTTCCACACGGTGAAGGTGGGGCACACAGGCTGCGCAAAGGCTACATCGAAGGTGTAGAGGTGGATGGAGTTCAAAGCATCATAGAAAGCAACAGAGCCGTTATCGTAGTCCAGTAGGATGCCAACGCGCCGGAGGTGTGGGGCAGGCTCGATGGGGATTTCCTTGCTGTTGTGTCTCACCACCCAGTTATTATTGCAGCGGCAGAGGGCCCAGGAGGCAGAGTTCTTCCCAATCCATTCATGCTTTGGGGCCGATTTATAAGCAAGGCCAATGGCATACCTGGAGAGGCAGAACAGTGACACCGAAAACAGTGAGTCACAGTGCACATGTGTGGAAATCCATTCTGTAGTCCTCAGGGGTCATAAAAAAGTGATCATCTGCTGTTCCTGTTCATTCTTTTAAAGTGGAAACTTGGTAAAAACCCAACACCTGTGCTCCTCATCTTTTCTCCTAAACACGGAATGGGTGGGTAGGAGCCAGTGTATTTGAACTTCGTGTTTTGCTGTTTTATTTTTCTCGCTCATAAATTACTGAACATTCAATTATCTGGACCAGTGAGCACTAAAGGAACTTTCTGCAACGACTAAAGTGTTCTGCTCAGTTCAGCGTGGTAGCCATGATTGTTCTGACCATAGGATGGTTGACTTACAGAGTTTTTGAGTTTATAACGGCACAAAAGTGAGACATATTCAGTAGGAATTATCCTTTAAATTCTGAATTTTGAACTTTTCCTGGACTAGTGAAATGCAATACAACCCTCTCTCACTATAGTGGACAGTGACACAGTATTTTCATTTTATTATGGCGTTATAAGGGTGTAACCCCATAATAAAGTGAAGGAGCATCTGTTTTTAATTTTAATTAAAGGTAAATGATTGAAATAGCTACATGTTGCTCATGGCTACCATATCACAGCAGGCAGTATAACCCTAGACTTGTCCTTTTGACCTTCTTTAAATTTTTCAATTGACACTGTGTCTGTCATTTTCCCTGACTGAGTGTGCTTGCAAAAAAAAGCAGGAAGAATGATTTTTATTTAGCAGAATAAATCCCTTGTCATCACTCTGTCTCAGGTTCTCGTCCATGACAAGGGAATAATGATAGGCTCTATATTCCAGGATTATTTTATCCAGTAAAAGAAAAAAATGCAGTCTAAATCCTGAGTATAAGGCCTGGCATACAATATTCAGTAAACATTATTTTATTATTATTGTCTGAGGATACACACATAATTAGTACTACAATCAGAATTAGAATTTAAGATTAATCAAAAGGCCATAAACTTAAATGACATTCTGTAATGTCTTCCCTCACCAGAAACTATGCAATCCATCATTGCCAAAAGGATTTCTGATTGTATTTTCTACCACATTATCAGTGTGTTAAAATATCTTTGAATGACAGATATCCAGTTATTTTCAATAGTCTATCACTGGTCAAAAATAAAAAAAAACTTAAGAAATTTTTTCTACAATGTCTTAAACTTCTTAATCTCTTTTTACCTCTCTGAGACATGCCCTGTAATATTCAAAGCATTTCACAGTTATTAAGATAAGCAAAACACATCACTATCAATAAAGACTTAATGACCCAGAGTTCAACTTTTAATATGTTATAGCAGCAACTGGTGCAATTGGTTATTGACATATGGCACCTTACCCAGTGCAGAGAGAAAAACTTACCAGTCCTTGCTAAAATCACATTCTTTAAAAAGTCATGTTAGCTTTAAAACATAATCACTTTAAGAGTGGCATGTTAAAATGAAAATTAACACAACATACCATCACTGAATTCCTAAAGAAGACAGAATGGATAATACGTTAAACCTACGTGCCACCTAGTCACATGTCAATGCAACATCCTCTCTCCCTCTTGTCAATCTTCTCTTGCTCCCAGGGCAAATTCTAGATTGTGTTTCTTAGAATGTCCTTTCCTATAGGAGTCTGGGCCGGGTTCTGCTATTGCATTGCCTTTGCATAAGACCTAGAGGTTGTAAGAGGAGGAAGAACACTCTTCCAGTGACAGAGCGAGGAAGTGAGTTTTGTTTGTGGAACTTGGGATCACCTCCTGTCTACACCTGTTTTGGCTGTGAGCCGCAGGTCACTGTGACTCAGGCACTACCGCAGCAGACTTGCTGACTTGTCTTCCTGGTTGCGCCAGGGGCTGTAAGTTTGTGGCTCCCTTCCTCCATGAGGATCCTGATTGACTTCTGCTTACCTGCTGAGTCCTAACTGATACAATTTGGAAAGGTTTTCATTTTGTAAGTTAAAACATCTCCCCTCAAGATGTTCTTAATGCCTTGGTAGAATTTATTTCCTTTTTTTTCAGATAATTTGGGACCTGCATTTGTTAAACAAAATAGCTATATCTGTATTGTTTCTTTCTTGTTGCTGCATATTAATCTTTTATTAAAGAACTTAGATGTTACCTGTCACTTCAGTCTTAATTGAACCATATGTGCTTGCTGTGGCAGAGATGGCTGATTGCATTCAGCAATGAGAAAACAGAAAGTCAAAAGTAGGAGCAAACTCCAGAACTCTTGTGCTGTCCATCCAAATTTAGTCTAGCAATCATTACCCGAACCAATTATTACTACTTTAGTTACCACCATTTCATAAAACACAAAATGCACATTAACAGCATTAGGGAGTAAGAAAATAACCAAGTGTACAGTCCATTAAGCAAAGGAAAACATCATTATACTGTCATTAATCTGTTAAATTATGTACATATCTCCACTGTGCGTCAAAGGTGCAAGCAGAATGTAATGTCCCGTTAAGTTACGCAGTGAGACATGGAAAATTCAAAAGTATAAAAATTGTTTCTCAGAGCAATGTTAACATGCCCCATTGCACGGTAATAATGTTAATTTAAAGTCAGGACTATATTTCACGAGAAAATATAGGTGTCATTAGCTGCTGCAAGTCAAGGTGTCACTGGCATTTAATTATAGGGAGCACCCTTTCATTGCTAAAACCTTTCAGGAAATGTTAATCCATTTTCTACATGAGGATGCTTTGAAATTGACAAAGTCAGGTTTGAAAAGGTCCAAAATGTGGCAATCAGCTGTAAGGTTCCCTCTTATGAGCTACTTTGACATCTGGATGGTGTTTTAAAGGTAATGGTGATCTGTGTTTATGTAAGAGAAGTGTTCTGGTGGAATTTTCCCCACTATTCATCAATGGCAATGAGATCATAAGGATTAGCTGTCATTTATTACAAATAATTATTAATTGGGTTATACTCATTTGGATACTGGATTCCATCCTAGATTAATATAGATTAACTAGAATTGTTTGCTTTCTTGTACATTTGTTTTTTCCTTTGTGTTTTTATTTTTGCCCCAGAGAAGCTAAAAATTGCAAATGTCAGTCTAGCCCAGAGCCTAGTAGGGTAAAGGACTTGTCCTCCATCCTCTGGCAAGATGCTGGAATAGGAAAATATTCTGTGTGAAGAGAATCATGAGAAGAGTAGCATACGAAGACCTACTGGCTTAGCCAATATAGGTACCATTATTAGGAAAGATGGGCCACCCAAGCTTACAATCTCACATCTTAGATTTAGGCTAACTTGTACCTGCACTATCAAAGACTTTCATAGGTTACATTATTTGCATAGATTTGATTTGAATCCTATTTTGAAAATAGGATTTTTATCATGGCTATATCAAAAGAAATACAATTCCTTCTGCAGATGTTTCTTCAGATTATGCAATTTTGAATGTTGGCTTTATTTTTAAAGCAAGGGTTAAGGTATCATTCATTAAATACACTACTATAAGCCTTAAAGAGTAATTACAATATTTCAAACACTGATCACTGTTTTGTGAATAACAGTGTATGTTGGTGAGGGGTACAGATCAGCGAACTACAGGTTGGGGTCAACTCTGGCTTTCTGGCTATTTTTATAAAAGAAGTTTTATTGGCACACAGCCACACTCATTTGTGTGTGTATTGTCTATGGCTGCTTTCCCACTACAATGGCCAAGTTGAATAGGTTGGATAAAAATCATCTGGAAAACAACACCAGACATACTGACTCTTTGGGCCCTTTACCAACAGTGTTTGTAGACTACTGATTAAGAGCTTGATCCCTGGTGGTAGAATTCCTGGTTGTGCTAGCTATAAATTTTATACATTTGGGGATGTGCCTCAGTCCCCCTCATCTGTAAAATAGGATACTGCTAGCATCTACCCTCGTAGGGCTGTTAGGATGAATAAATAAATTAACATCTATAAAATTCTTAGACCAGTTCTTTGCCTGGTATGCAGCTGTGCCATATGGAGGCTTGTTAAAAATTACAAAACAATAATTTTTGATCAATAGTAAGCAAGCATTTGTGAGATGGATGGCCAAAGCGAGGGATGCCATTTGTGACTGGGCATTAGGGAAGGCCAGTTTTGCAGAGCTAACAAATTCCAATGTAGATTGCATCCTGCCTTTATTCCTTAGTCTGGGAGAACTCAATGGGCTAAAGTCACTGTGCTGGCTCTAATAGACCTCTTGAAATTATCTGCATTCTGTCATCTTTGCTTAACCCTCATTCACTCAGCCTTTAGCTTTTTACACTAATTGGCTCAGTTTTGAATCACAAAACATACAAAGCAACAGAAAATAACTTTCCTTTAATGATGAGGATTAGTGTTTTAAGGTAGAAATTAGAGAAATCTTTTCTCTAAAGGGGTAGAAAGTAAATATTTTCAGCTCTGCAGACCACAAATGATTCTGTCTTAACTAGTCAAATGTGTCATTGGATTCCAAAGGCAACTATAAACAAAAAGAATGGGCATGGCTGAGATTCACAATACCTTATTTACAAAAACAGGGCTTGGACGAGGCTTGCCCATGAGCTGCAGTGTGTTGACCTGTGCTTTACACTGCAAAAGAGCAATGTTTGGAAATTATAGCTCTCCTAGGAACCAGAACTCTATGTTCCACACTGCTTTGGTCAATAGGAATTTAGAGGACATGATGCAAGTAGACGCTTGAAACATGCTTCCACTGTTGGGTTATTGAGGACATCGCCTGAGTAGCCCAGTAATCAAAGGAAGAGGAAAAGACACAGGACAGACCTAGACCCAACGTACACCCAAAAGCAAAGTCCAGTTGTTATTAACCCTGATCAGCTAAATCACAGATGTGGGTGTTAGTTACTACTAACAAATGGGGGTTGTCTGAAGCCACTGTTTGGACATACTTGTCATACAGTGTTATTGTAGCAATAGCTGACCCACACAACCTATCTACATTTGATTCTTCAGGATGGATGCTGGTATGGGTTGATGCTCTGACAAAGTACAAGATGAGATGTTCCTTTTTTACAACTGGAAAACAATAGACATAAGTTGCCTACCATGTGCTTCCACTTATGACCACTTCCCAGTAATGCCGGCCACTGTCGATGAACACATTTCCAGCCACTCCATAGCTCCCTTGGCTAGTGAAGCGTTCAGGTGTATGACTCTTTTTGGATGATGACTCGTCACGTTCTACTGTCAGGTTATCATGGGACACCTTCAGTTTTCGATGAGCAGATTTGGGATCCAGTTTAAATGGTTGGCCTAGAAATAAGTTCATAAAACAAGAAGAGAAAGTAGAAAAATCACGGTTTATTTGAACATGACCAATAGAATATTTTCATAATCAGATTTAGAAGACTGCAGCAGACCATTCCTCCCTTAGGCATGCCTCTTATCACAAAGCAGTATTTTATACTTGAACAGTGATGTGTTATCAACACTGTTAAAGACATTTGCTTATAGTTTTCATGATATTCAAACTATATTCAAAATATAGTTAGGGAGCAGCAGCTTTGCATAAAGTATAATGCTAAGCACAGTAAGAATGAAGAAGAACTTGAATGTCTTCATGAGTTTCAGTGTTAGTTCTAAGGGAGCCAGAGGTATTATGCTAACTATTTAACAATAGCAAGGGCAAAGATTAACCAGAATTCATGATGGGCTGAAGTATCTTCATCTACCATTCTAGCCGCTAACAATCAATACAGGTACACACTGTCTGGCTAGATTCCTGAAAAAGAGAAAATAAAGACTTTCTTTCACACCATGTTCAATCAGGAATAAAGCATATTTACCCTCAATAGACTCAGACCAGAAAGCAGACAAATCACACTTTCAGGTCTTACCATGTAGAACATTATAAAGGTTTACTATATTCTGAGATTGTGAAAACTCAAAGGACTACTCTTAGGAGTTTAGAATACCTAAAAAACTAAAAATTTCAGGTCATATAATCAGGAAAAATATGATAGTGATGTCCATGTTTTATATGCCTGAGTTTATTCGTATACATAATAAAGCCCTTTATGTTTCATTATTCACATTTGTATTTTAAAAGATTTAACCATTAAAAAATCTTGGCGGAGTCATACATAGACAATTTGTTGTAGCTGTTATGTCTTTGACATTTCAATATTGGTTTGGATTACTACCTGTCATTCAATACCACATAGGGTACAAGAATTTAAAGGCAGCAAATGAGATACAACCTGATTCAGATATCACAGTAACCCCCATTGCAAAAAAACCCCATGGTGCTCTAGTTGGCAGCCCCTGCCCAGTATGCAGCTCCCAGACAATCACAGGCAAAAGTCTGGTAAATTTCACTATGGCAATACATAATGCTGGTGGAAAAACAAACTCAGAGATTGGGGGCACTATGCCTTTTGTCACATATGGGTAAGCCAAAGGATTTCCGGCCATTGCTTGGATAAAAACATAAAACCACCACCTTGAATATTCTTTCTTTTAGATCAGCTGCAAAAGGTCAGGCAGTAAATACTTTCAGCTATGCAGCCCATGTGGTATCTTTTGTGATCACTACTCAACTCTGTCACTGTAGTAAGGAAACAGCCATAAATGACAGATAAATGGATGAAAATAGTTGCATGTCAGTAAGACTTTACAGTATATATATATGAAAATAGGCAGTCAGATTTGGCCCTTGAAATATGGTTTACTGACTCTTGCTTTAGAATTCTGGTCCTGATAACTATATGTCTATCTAGCTATATACTATATATCTCTATCTATATATTGATATAGTTATATAGCTATCTCTGTCTGTCTGTCTACCTACTTATCAACTTAAAAGTTAGAGCTCATAAAAGCCTCAAGTACTAAGCAGGGAGCATATATTATCAGAGCCCATAAAACCTGCAGTTTAACTATGGACTTCCCTTATAAACAAACAAGCAAACAAATAACCACCCTCAGGGATGATCATGCTAACAACTGTTAGAGATAAGCTATGAACTAAGACAAGGAAAGTACAAAGATAGTATTACTTGAGATACTTCCATTGTAAAGGCGAAAGACAAATGTTCACTGGACACTAGTGGGCAAAACAGGAAGAAATCCCATTATGGCACTAGTCATTTACTAAGGGTGAGTGCTGCTTGGCCTCCTGCCAGTGAGGAAGAGTAGAGTGGCACAGCATCACAAAGACTGGGCTCGGAATGGTGAGCGCCCCCTGAAGTACCCTGCTTGCCTTGGCTCACACTCCCAGCCACGCATACTCCAAGCAAGTTCCCACCAGCAGTTCCCACTTGCTGATCCAACCCTGGGTTCTCAAGGAGCAAAATCCTGTCTGTTCCCCAGGCTCATTTCCTAAATAAGCTATGACCCACTCTGCCCAAATTCCAGGCTTTTGCTTCATAAGGACCAATTAATTCAAGGAAAAAATCAACAGTTACTTTGCTACAGAATTTATCTTCAGTGAAGTTGCTCATATTACCAGATGTAAGAACACAAGATTGATTGAACCATTAAAGAGAATTTAAAAAATTTAAAAAACATTACAGATGATACAGAGTTTCACTAATTCATTAGAACATTTGTATAGGGCATGACCCTATTCTGGCCACTGTTCTCCTGGCTGGACAGTTCTTTCCATAATCGCCTGAAACTTTGCTCACCCCTCAGTCTCCCTGCCTTGTAATCCACTCACCATGTCATAGTGCAAAAGAGCATCATTTGGTGGGAAATCTCATCCTGCCTCTTTAAATTCTACAACCTGTTTCCCACCTACCATTGTTCCTCAAAGAAACTCCCTAGCACGACCCATGGGGGTTTCACAATCTGCCTCTTGTGTCCAGCTTTCATTCATCTTCTCAACCTAAGCCTTTTTTACCTTATTCATCAATTGTCTGCTGCACCAACATAATCCCCTTGTCTCTGGGCCTTTGCACATGCTATGCCCTGTGCTTGGAACACTGCCTCCTCCTCCCATCCCCTAATCATACCACACCTTGAAAAACCCTATGGCTGGGTAGGGCACTCCCTGTAAATCCAGACCCATCAGGGTTATTCTTATCTCAGACTTCACAGAATGAATGGTGAGTGAAGACTAACATGCTCTATTACCTAATCATCTAGGAACTCCTGAGAGATGTATATGCCAAGAAATTGAAGATCTTCATAATATCCTCAACATTTTGCACAGCATCTCCAATGCACTAGTTGCTCAAACATATTTTTGAAGGGCCTAAGACATGTTTAAATGTAAAGCAAAAACTGCTGATAGGAGTACGCATATGAGTACTATGAGTACTACATGAGTATTATGCCATGTACCATCATGTTATATTTTTTTCTTTACTCACGACTAGTTTTGACCTTTTTTAAAACCACCTATAAATGAAATTTCATCATTTTAAAAATGTTCTCGCCAGACATGGTGATGCACGCCTGTAATCCCAGCACTCCAAAGGTTGAGGCAGGAGAATCATTGCAAGTTTGAGGCCAGCCTGGGGTACATAAGTGAGTTCAAGGCCAGCATGAACTGCATAGTGAGGCCGTCTCAAAAAAAAGTTCCCATAAAATATTCTCATTTTAAAAGTTAAGAAACATTAAATGCAATGTGAGATCTTAGATTAGATGCTGAAACAGGAAAAGAACATTAGTGATAACACTGTTAAAATTCAAATAAAGTCTCAGGTTCAGGTAAGAGTAATGTGCCAATGTTAATTTCTTACAGGTAGTTGTGGAAAAAGCACCTAGGTTATGTAAGATAATGCTGGAGATGCTGGGTATGCAGTACTCTCCATAATGTCTACAGATTTTCTGTGAATCTGTAGTTATTCCAACATAAAATGTTTATTTCAAAGAAGCAGTCCAAATACCCATCAACCGATGAATGGATAAAGATGTGAGTGTGTGTTTTATACAATGGCGTATGACTCACCCATACAGAAAGATAAACTTGAATCATTTCTAGGCAAATGGATGCACCTTGAAACCACATTCTTAAGTGAAATAAATCGGACACGTGTAAATATTGCATTGTTTCTCTGGTATGAGAAACTAAAAGTATAAATAAGGACCAAATATATATAATAGATATTGTGAAATAGTAAGAAAATGTTCAAACGGGAAGGGGAACTAGGGAGGGAAGAGGGAGAAAGGAAGGAAGGGAAAAGAAAAATAAGCAAAAATGGAAAGAAAGCTTTTGTAAATAAGGTGGGGGAAGAGAGGGTAAGAGAATGGGAAAAATAGAATCAAGGTACATCATGTACAGGTATAAATTCCCAATGATGACTGTGATCATTATGTATATCTAAAATGTACCCATTAATTTAATTTTAAAAAAGAAATATACTGTCCTGATAGACTAGGAAAAGTTTTAAAGCATGCAATGATATAAAAATATTCTTGCATTATTATTTTCTCAGTAATTCTTTGATTTGTGAGCTACAATAGTATTGCTATGAGATTCTGAATACATGGAAAAATATGAGGAAACTAGTCACAGCCACATGGGTACCAAGTGGCTGAATCTCAGTCTTCCAATCCTTGTGGTGGTGCTCTCGTTATTTCCCTTTCCCGTCGCTCTAATACTCAGCACATGTTCTCCAGTACACTAGAAAATCAAGGCTATGGTTAAGTGAGAGTTTCTCCTGAAAAGCACTGCATTGTTCCTGTGGACTGATTGGTAGTTAAACACAGCACCACATTAAGACACTCTGATTTGCTTTTTCCTCGGAGATCTTATGCAAAGAAGTACTGTGCCACATACCATAATATTTCTAGATCAAAAAGTTGTAAAGAAAGAAGAGAGGATAAAGCAAAACATATGTAGGGAGAGACAGTGCCAGGGAGATGACAGTACTATGAGACACAAGTATAAGTCAGATCATTTTTTTGAAGGGGGGCTGTTCTGTGTATTATGGGGTACTTCCCATCATTTCTGGCCAATAGCACTCTCTCCAGTTGTAACAACCAAAAATGTTTTTAGACATTGCTAAATGTCCCCTGGGCAGGAGTAGAGGGATAAAGGGGAGAACTGCCCCTGATTAAGAACCGTAGAGCCAGACAGCTACATGGAGTCAAATAAAAACTTGCTGAGGAGAGTTATTAATTTGCTTTTGTACTATGAAAGAAATATTATCCCCAATTTACAGGGCCCCCATTCTGTGTCTGATTTTATACAGACATATTCTATTTCTCACAAGAACTCCCCTAGGATTATTTACTTTAAAAATGAACAGACTGAAGTGCAGAGAGCTTAATGGGCTCATGGTCTTGAAGGCATAGTGTCAGATTTGGAACCTAGAGGTGGTTGATGAGAATCCCATGACTCCACACTGGCTCCTTCCTTGTTCTTTTAAGGCTGTCAACAGCGCCCAAGACAGAAAAGAAAGAAAGCGGGGTAGAGTCAGCTGAAAAGCAAGCAAATGTAAGATGACAGCTCTGTTGAATTCATGGCACTTACTGTTTGTCTTCAACTTCCCAGGCTCGCTGCTGCGGTTGCCTGCCTGGTTGATGGCCTTGACCATGAAGATGTACTTGGTGCCACTCTGCAGACCATGCACTGTGTAGTGGTTCTGCTTAATATTGGGCACGATCATCCAACTGTCAGCCGAGTTACACAGACCTGCAAAGCCAACCAGACAGGTGCAAGCATGGGCAATGCTGCATAATTTTAGGTTACTTCAACCGTAAGAGTTGGCAAGCGTAGTGCTTTGATGCCATTTTTTCTTAGCTAACAGTGACTGCTGAGCGTCCTATCTACAGTTGGAGGACAATCTGTGTTATATGTTCCCACTGTGTGCTTGAGATGGACAAGCCACTTAAAATTTTTATATTGCAAAATCTGATCTATGTGAATAGAAGCAGTCAAGGTGGTTCTGTCTGGGATCTTAAGCACTACATATGTGTATGGTGTGTTAATAGATACTGGGTGATGAAATGAAAACAACCACTGATTCCTCTCGCTCTACCTTCTCCCCATTTTCATAGGACTGATTAATTACATTTCAGATTGCATCAGTTCTGAGTCTCACAGCTGGTTAGCACACCTGAGTCATGTGCTGGAAGCCAACTTTACTAACATAGATATGGTAGATTGCATTTTTGCTCCTAATTCTTCACTCAGTCCTGTATTTCCACCTAAGGACTATAGTTACTCCCTTTAGGGAAGTAGGATCTATTTCTTTGTCACATGGCTTTGTATTTGGTCACATGCCTTGCTTTGGCCAACAAGATTAGGCCAAAATGATAATGTTCTAGTTGTGAGAACAAGTGTTACAAGCCTTGAGGGGTTGTGTTGACTCCTTGCATCTCTGCCATTGCCATAGGGACAACAGTTCTCGGATATACTTCCTATCCTGACAGAGGGGACACAGGGAACAGCCAAGCCAGGAGCAAGCCCAGTAGAGATCAGACAACCCTAATCGATCTCCAACTGAGGGGCAAGAGGATAAGAAAGTGATCATCAGGGTAGTGTGTGATTCTGGGTTAGTGTAGATTCAGGAGGCATTCACGAGAGAATTCTGGAGCAGCAGCATCCATGGGGAACTCAGGGTCCAGAGGAGATCTTGGGAAAGCACAAACAGGGAGTTTTGGATCATCTGCATCCCTGGGGTAGCTGGTTCCAGAGTGAAGCAGGACGCTGCTCTGGCTGCATTCTGCAGGATGTGGCTGAAGAGCAGGCCAAGGATTTATGATGCTTGGAAGAACATGTAGGAAAAAGGAAGCCCATTTTGTTTTGCAGCTGCCTGATGCTGGAAACATCTTTTTGGTATCAGGCCCAACTCTCCCTCTCTTCTCTCCACCCATCAATCTCCACTCCATAGAACTTATCTCCACCCCCTCATGACTGGGCTGTCATGAAGTTTCCTTTCTCTGTTGAATTCCCTTCAACATTCCCTGGGAGAGGGCTAGACCCCTCACTTCCTGAGGGGCTCCAAACTAGCCTCCCCACTCCTTCCTTTTTAGTTGATTTGCAAGTCAAAGGGTTAGTTCCTTTGATCTTGCTGCAATTTATATCTTACCAGACTCTTAAGGAGCAGTCCCTTAATCCTTCTTTTGGTCTCACCCCTTTGAGAATCTAATAAAACCTTTCTGTAAAAAGAAATTCACAAATGCATATACACACTGAACCACAAATATTTTCATAGCAATGCAAGGTAGTCACAGTCTTCCTGAAGTCTGTCTTTGAATCACACTAAATATTCCTGGTATTCTCATAGATGAGAAGAACTTTTTTGTATTTTGTTACCTGTTAAAATTCACCTCATATGATTTGTACATTGAGCACATTGTATTTTCAGGTATAATTCACAGACTTTTATATACGCACTTCTTTTTCATTTCCACCTGTGAACACTTTCACCAAAGGACTGCCAGATTTAAAGAAATAAGCATAAATCATGGAAATAATTTGAGACTTACATAAGAGTTTAAATGACTGAGTGTGGGTGGGTGTGTGTGCGCGTGCACTCGCGTGTGCTTTTCAAGATTTAGTAAAGCAAGCAGAGACACCATCCTCTCTTCCTTCTTCAGTTTCCCCTAGCTCTTAGTCCTGTTTTCTACCATGTCTCATTTGTGTAAGATCCCAAAATATCCACAAATAGTATAGTAACATTGGAATCTCCCTACTCTTCATCCCTGTTGATCCTGTCTTGCTTTATCGTTCTCTTGAACACAGTTTAATAAACTCTGTATTCCTGGGTAATGCCATAGCCAAATATTAGATTTTGACCCACCCAAAGATGGGTCATGTTGAACTCTGAGCTCTGGGCCCTAAAAGGCCTGTAACTTATGTTAGGTATTTAATACTATTATTACAATAGTAATAAAAAATAGCTTTTATATTGCCTAGAATAATCCACTCATATTCCTAGATCTTTGTCAACAGCAGTCAGGCACGAATGAAAACAATAACAGCATTCAGTAGATTCAAATGAGAATCCTATCATTTTCACTGGTTTTGTACTGTTCCTGTTTAATTGCATATGCTACAATAAAATGACGACTGCGGTCAAAGAAAGAAATGTAAAAATGTTTCAATAAACTCTAAATCACTGTACAACTCAAAAGCTGGGTTTAATGTGGTGGAGGAATGCTTTCAGCAACATCATAAAGCAGATGTCTGAAATCGCTGCACACTGTAACTTGGCCTTCAATCCAAAAATCTTAACTCAACAAAGATTTAATGTCTTAGAAAACTTTTCCAAACAAATAAAAAAAGGACTCTGACTCTCCTGATTATTTTGAAGAGGTCACTCATTTTTCCTTGAATTTTAAAAGAACAAAATGTTTATGGAGTACTCAATTTTTATTGGATAGATTTACACTGAGGTGAGCTACTTTCAGGAATACTAACAATAATGACTATTTGGGCTTACCTTTGTATTATTATTATGGCCAAGACAATAATGCAGAGATTGATTAAAAATGCCAAGAAAATAACATTGACAATTTTCTTCTAGGGATGGAGTTAAGTGAGGTGACTTGGAGGGCTAGTGTTGGTCTTAAGCCAGTACCACCTAACTTCTTACATATGGTGCTGAGGGCTGAGTTTGCTCAAGTGAGGATTCTCTGCATTGACACCCCATTGCGTTAGGATGGGTGACCAGGTTTTATGCATCTTTTTATGAAACACCCCACAGCCATCCTGACTAAAATTTCACTTGGTTTTAAACTCATTTTCAATCATTTTTGAGGGTATTCCAATGTTCACCTCCTCCAACTCAGCTTGAAGTATTAAAACAACAGGACTTGGAAGATAATTAGTCCATAATGAAGCCTAATTGAGATTTTTGATTTTGTACATTTTTTTCACTCACAATGGGTCAGAAGCACTTCCCGGCATAATTCATCTCATTATAAGATTTTAATTACATTTGGGAATTCTGAACCTTGTATGGCGACTATAACTTTGCAGCAAAACATATCCAAAACATCATACAATGTGTGCACTCTTTGGAAGGCTGTACACTGGCTTCTAGCATCCTTTGTCTCTTCAAACAGATCACACAGAAGTAACATCCTTTTCCGTCTTCTCTACAAAAATAGTATGTGTTTAATAACTTTCATGAATAGTTCAGAATGACTAAAATAAATACATAGAACTTCTTTGCCATGATGGCTTGAAGAAATGTGGCTTTTGTTTTGTTCTAATAACAAAAGTAGCCTGCTGGGAAAAGGCTCCCACATAAGATTTTTAAATAAGGTATTAAAAGTAGTTCTGGGCAAAATGTGGATGAAAATATTGTAAAATTAAAATGTATATCTAAGTATTAATAAACCCAGATATTAACATCTGCAATTAAAAGTCTACCAATAAAATGAAAAATACAAAAAAAGCTAATGCCATTAATTTTGCAGGTAAATGTGCATATTTCATTAGTGGGAGCCTTCATAGGATTGAAAAAGCTTCATAGATACTATCTAATTCTCTTCACTAAACCCAGTGGAAGGCAATTAATTCCAATTTACTATTACAAGTGAAGGAACCATGACCTAGAGACAATAAAAATATCTCCTAGTGTAGTGTAGTATAAGAAGCCAAGGCAGGTTTTGAACATAATATATCTTCCCATTTTCAGTAGAGTTTTATAGTTAGATTGATATTCAATACAGTGTCTGTAAAGGATACTCCTCCAAATGAAAAAATGGATGGACAAGCAACATTCAAGGAAGGCCTTTGACATGGAGAGTTTGTGAAAAGCTATCATCTACATAATCTTGGCAAACTGCACAACTGGTCCTTATCATATGACATAAAATATTATCCTTTTAAAATGCATTGATGGCTTGGTTAGTGCAGTGTATGTTTTGTAGTTATAATAACTGTGAATATTTATATGTTGCCGCTGTGGCAAACATAAAGCTAAAGCCTTTACTTTCTATCTTAATCATGTGAAGTTAAAACCATTGGCACTTCTTATAGATGAGCAAAGAGATCAGGAGGAGATTAATTTGCTAATGAATACAGAGCTGGTGAGATGCAAAGTTGAGATTCAAATTTAAATTTCCTTCAGTAGCTATAAGTGCAAAAGATGTGAAAATGATGCATTTCATTTAACTTTTTATCTAAATGTACTCTTTCCTTGTTGTAAACTGATTCTGTAGGAATCAGGCCTTCACTATCCTGGGCATAAAGAGATGAATAACCCTATAAGACTGTCCTGGTTGGACAAGCACTAACAGTTTCATGGTTTTCCAGCCGCTTTGGACAACTATGCATTAAATAAGGCAGATCTATCGTCTTCAATATTCCATTTGCATTTATTTTCTTGTGGTAACTGATTTCCAGGAGCAAAATACCTTACCTGGAATTACCCAGCGTAAAGTTCTGAATTCATCATGCTCAATAGTTTTGTTCTTATTGAAATTATTTAGGCATGGCCTTTTGTAGTCATCCATTCATTTCTGGATCATGGTTTGGTATTATTTTCCACGTTAGTGGCATGGAAGTCAAGGCAGGCCTAGTTTAACAGCTGCAAACCCCTATCTTTGAGGAGATAAATATTTTTCTTTCATTTGGGGGATGAAGTACTGATACCAAATAGGGCTTTACAGTTCCTTCTGGCCCCAGTTCCTTACTACTCACAGTATTGGTGCTGTTTGCTACATAACTTTGGAGGCCCTCTCATTCTCACTCAAAACTCACTCATGAGACAGGGACTTAAAATGCACATGTGCAATCTGTTCTGCCCTTACCCCTGCACCTCTGCAACCACTAGGAGAACACAAGGAAATGAGAGACACACGCAGCAGTCAAGCCACCCCAGTTAGTAACCTGCCATGAGACAAAGCCTAGATCAGTAGCACCTTCCAGTTGACCACCAGCTGACTCCAGGGACTTGAACAAGAAGTGCTTACTGTTATTTTGTATTTAGGCCCTGTGGCTGTTGGCTATTCCTTAAAAACCAATAAGAGTCTCACGCTCCACTGACTGAGCTGGCCGGGCTTAAAAACCAAATGATAAAAGGCCTGTCTGTCCAGGCTGAGGAAATATGCTTCTCCAATGTCCATGATAATCTGACTCAAAAAATTTTAGATGAAACAATTGTTTTTCCCTTGCTAGACAAAATGTCTGACACCTAAAACTTAAAAGCAGAGAAGTTTATTAAGCTTATGATCTTAAAGGAGTCAGTCCATGGTTTGCTGGTTCTAAAGCAGAAACATAATGGTGCAAGGGTGTGGTGGAGCACAGCTGCTCACTTCATGGTAGCTAGGAAGCAGAGTAGAGGAGCAGCAAGGAGAGGAAGGAGCCAGGGACTAGATATAGACTCCAAGGTCATGTATCCATGACCCAACCAGACATAGCAAACCGTATGTTTTACTAATCTTCTAGGAATCTCCAAAGCCAACGAAGTTGACAATTAAGCTTAATCATCACAACAATTATCTAAGAACCTCAGGATTTGTACTACCTGGTATTCATAACATTGTGTGATCCTTTCTTCTTGAGCATAGGCATGCAGCTGTGATCTATTTCAAATGAACCAGAATATGGGAAAGGAACAAAGTCTATCACCTTTTTAAGTCTTGTGACTATAGTACATTATTTGGCAAAGGTGAAGGGAATTTGCAGATAATATAAAGGTCATTTGACTTTGAGTTAATCAACAGGGAGATTGCTCTGAATTGGTCTAACCCAATCAAGTATGTCCTTTAATGGTTAATTTGGGCTGAGAGGCTTGAAGTAGCAGACTTTCTCCCTTGCTGGCTTTAAAGAAGCAAGTTGCCATAAATTCTACAACGATACTAAAACAAATACTGGCAACAAACTGTGGAAGCTAGGAAGTGGTTCTTCCTTAGCCTTGTTTTGAGATGAAAACAAGACTCAGCCGATACCTTGATTTCAGCCATGTGAAACCCTAAGAAGAGGATCCAGCTCAGCCATACCAGACCTTTGACCCATGGAAAGTGAAATAATAATTGATACTACATTAAAATGCTACATTTTGAGAAAATAATTTTACAGCAATAGAAAATAGGTATAATCTTTCCCAAATCAAGCAAAAATAATTTGAAAGAAACTTAATATTACTCATATGGGCAAAGAACCACCCATCTGGCATAAAATGAGTCCAAATGTTTTCTTTTGGGGGGTCATAATATGCACAGTCATCAATAGTCTGTCTTTTGTCACCATCTTGTGAATTTCATCCTCTTTGCATTTGATATAACCTCTGGTTTAGTTTACCCAATATACTAGCAATATTTGCCACACAATACTGAGAAAGTAATTCGTTAAATGAAGACAAAAAGACATGAATTATTGTTCCTTCACGTTGTTGTGTTTTCTCCTCCATATTATAGCATATACTAGTATGCAGGTCAGTGTGCTATGATTCCTGTTCTAGTTAAGTTAGGTCTCAAATTTTTATGTAATCATGTAGATGTTATATGTACACTTTGCTTCAAATCAGGTTTCTCATGCTAATTTTACAGTATATATGTCCAAGATCAGTGAAACATAAACTCGTACAGCTGAGAAAATGCATTTAAAAATATATGTCACCTCTGAAGGGCAATGTGACGTTGTCAACCAAAATTAAAGTGCAAATAATCTTTTCCTAGCAAGTGTACCTCAAGAGATTATACTATAGATATAATTCCCTGTCTGTAAAAGGACAAAACTCAATGGTATTCATTGAGGCAATGAATAAGGGCTAAAGATTAGAAACAAGCTAAATATTCATCAACAGAACTTGGGATAAATAAATTAGGGTACAGCTTTACAGTAGGATACTAATGCTGCCTCAAGAGGAAATGAAACATTCTTTATTTGTGCTGAAATATAATGATCTCTCAGACGTGATATTGAGTAAAAGAAAATAAAACAAAGTGAAGAACAGTGTGTAGTATGGAATACACAGAAAAGATTTTAGGGAATTTTCGTTTCTACATGATTTGTTGCAGGGCTTGTGGAACTAGAGAAGAGGAATCCTGGAAGGAAAGAAATGATGTCAAAGCATTGCCATAGAACTTGCCTCAAAGAGCACTTGAAATATGTAAGTACAGAAATAATGTTACCAGGGGCGATGGGCCAGCAGTACAGAAGTCTTTCTGGAAGTGCCATCTCCTTTTCATTTTTGCTCTGAGTGCTATTTATGAGTCCTGGCTATTTTTGTCTCAGTGAATTACTATGAATGTCCTAGTTGCTGTCCCTGCTGCTAGTCTTGCTCTTTTCCACTCTGTTCTCCACTCTGCTTCTGAGTCACCTTCAAATTGCATACACTATTGCCCTGAATGACTACTAAGTTCACAGGGTAAAATGGTGTGCCCTGGTGACCCTCTGTGACCTGTCTGTTGCCTCCATGTTAAAATTAACTGACTAATGGCTGAGGACACATGTTTTTTGGAGCCAGATTGATATGGATTTGAGTTCTGGCTCTACTTCTCTTTTGGTTTTTCTGTCTTCCCTTCCTCACTGACTTCCCCATTGAGGGTGAATCTGTAAGATCTCCCAGAATGCCCTGCCAGTTTATGTCTCTACAGGCTTGCTTCTGAAGACCCAGATGTTTACAATACCTCGCTGGTAGGTATCTCACTGGTAGACAGCTGGTAGACAGCTGGTAGACAGCCACTTCCTTTCAAGACAGTTCAGGCATAATTTTCTCCAAGACCTTCTTGCTCCACCTATCACTTCTGTCCTCTCTCTACTTGCTACCTACTTGGCAGCTGGCCAAAGCTGTTCTTGACATGACATTTCATGACATTCCTCATTCCACTCAAAAATTTCACACCCTTGGAAAGTGGTAAGATTTCAATTAAAACTTCTAAGGTAGATCAGTTAGGGGGAGGAAGGTGAGATGGCCACAGAAAGGAAGCTGAGAAAAGTGGCTACACGGGAGGTCGGAGGAGTCACTAGTTTGTATCAGTCATATATACTTTAGCTGCTTAGAAATTGGTGTCTTTCTTCATCATTCTTTTAATTAATCATAAATTAAATTTCTATTTTAAGCATCATGTGTGCAGAAGTATTTGTGCCACCAAAGAACAATGTAATGAACAGAGAAAAGGTTTATATAATAAAAGCACATTAAGTTGATACGAATTTATTCAAAACTTTTTGTTGAAAAGTGACTGCTAGTCTGTCTGTTCTATTCTAGTCTACTTTGACATATTCTACTTCCCTTCACTAAAGAAGTTTGAGATTTGTTCTCCGGAAAAACCATTTCTTCTGGTTCTTTGCTCTTTGATCAGCTTGATTGGAGTAACTGTGGGGTGGGGAGGAGTGCTATCTCTGCTATCATTTCTCGGCCATCTACTGTTATTTGAGACCACCAAGTTGTCCTGGATGCCGAACATCAAATACTCCTCAGTGAGAGATGGTCTCACAGGTAGGGCTAGAAATTCTTCCCACATGGGGCCAGCTACTAACATCTACAGTGATGACCCCAGATTACTCATGAATGAGACCAGGCATTTAGCATTCTTTGTATACTCATTTGACTCAATCCTTATTTTTTCTGAAAATTGTAAAATAACACTCAGAAAAGCGAAACTAAATGTATAAAGTAATGACTAAAGCAGATAATGGCCACTCAGAAATTGCTGGTATCCCACGAATGTCCAAATATTTCTTCCCAGGGGGTGCCATTCTCCCTCTCATTCAAAAGTTAACCATCACAGTTAGGGTACATTTTAAAGCAAAACAGTTTATTTTAATTTTTACATTATGAATGGATAAATCAATTCACACTACATATTCTTTTATGTCCTGCTTCTTTCCTTTAATAATTGATTTGTGAAATTTATCCATGTGGTTTACAAGAGGTGACTAGTTTTCATCAGCATTTAACCAACAACTTTAGTAGCATAGTACAAGTGTTATTACTTTCTTGGTCGGGAAAGACAAAGCCATTAAACATTATGTACTCTTTCCTTCCTTGTCTTCCTTTGATGTTTAGATTGAAAAACGTGATTTATCTTAAAACAGCTACAGAAATAAGTAGAGAAGTAAGTAGGCTATGAGATACTCACTAACAACATTGGCTTGTCCAGTGAAAATGGTGTACTGGAGCTCATAGGAGACAACACTGAATTCATCATCTGAAGTCCAGTGGACAGTGATGGTGTCATATGAAGCTGTGCAGAGCTCTTCTCTAATTGTGGGAGGATTTGGAGCTGTGAGGGCAAAGAAGGCTCATCAGTGGAGGAGAACACACTGCTGGACACTGTTTCCAAGAAGATATTTCACTGCTGAAGAAAAGTTTTCCAAATAGATCCATCAGGGCTACTGTCCGAGAGATGGTAACCTCAAACCAGAAAATTTGAGATGGTTGGTTGTTGGTTTTATTTCTAACAAGGAGTATGGCCAGACCCAGCCTGTGTAAAATTATCTCAGTTTTTATGTGGATGTGTTTAAGAGATTAAGTAAACAACACTTTCTCCTGCAGGACGCAAAATTTTTTGGGGGGGTAAAAATAATCAAAGTATGTTATGTGCATGTACAAAACTGCCAAATGAATCCCAGGACTCTGTATAATCAATATGTACTAATAAAAAAGACATGGAAAAAGGAAACAAGATGAACTTTTATAGTGTCATTCCCTTCAGAGTGTAGGCAAACCTTTACAGCAAAGGGGTGGATGGTAAATATTTTAACAAACTATTTTTACTAGTGCAGGACAAGCAATATCACTTTGTAGGTCAGATAGCTGCTGTTGCAACTACTCAACTCTGCCACTGTGACATTAAAGTACCTGTGGATGACTTTTACATACATAGGTATAACCTAGGTTTCAAAACACCTGTATTCCGCAGAGGGCTGAATTTAGCCTGTGACCCAGTTGGCCCACTCTTAGTGTACATGGTACCAGATATTTTTATGTGTAAGTATCCAATCAGAGAAATGCCGATATTTGTTATCCTATAGCAAATTAGATAAGCATTTGCAAATTTTCTTTAATTAGACATTTTGATAACTGTTAAAAATTTATTAGTGTAGCACCAATTTATTCTTAATTCTCAAATTATAGGTGATATTTTAAATTATGACCATGACTGACGATCAATAATATCTAAGAAATATAATTTTCTTCCACAAGGAAAATATAATTCCTTGGCATTTTATTAACTTTATAACTTTTCTTTCCTTAATGCATTTTGGAGAGGACAATTTTACATCATACCAAAACAATAATTTTTAAATGACTTCCACTTGATTGATTTCAGCAACTGGTTTTATGAGGAGAGTACGTGAACAAGAAAGAAGCCTAGGTAATGAATGTTTTGCACTGGCAAAAATATTTTAGACCAGGGGTTGGCAAACTATGGCTGTGGGCCAAATTTGGCCTTCTGCCTGTTTTTGTAAATAAAGTTTTATTGGAACATAGCCAGGCTCATTCAGTCATGTATTGTCTGTGGATGCTTTAGCAGAACAGCAAAGTTGAATAGTTGCCACCATATGGCCTACAAAGCCTAACACATCTAACATCTGGCCCTTTACTGTCAAAGTTTGCCGACCTCTGGTCTAGAGAATTGATCCAGACCTTTGCTTTCCAGTCTTCTGTACACCAGAAACTAACTTCAAAGGGAGAAACATGTACGCATTCCACAGATGGGGATCAACCTTCACTTAAGCTACTGCAGAGTTCTTTCTTGCTCTAAATTCTAACTGGAATTAATGAATCCTAAAGAAACCCAAAGAGGGGGACAAGTTTTTGGAAATGGTAAATTTAAAGCTGTTTTAGTAGTCTTCACTTTGCTATCTGAAAATATAACCAAGATACCATGAAAACCAAATCTGGTGTTTTAAGTCAGTGAGCTCAGCTTTGCCTACTCACTGCTGAATTCCATAAATGTTAGTGAGTACCCACATTGGGAAGGGGTCTGCAAAAGAAGGGCACTATGCAAACCTTAAAGCATTCTTTCTGAAATATGTATTTGTACATCTGTCTGCTGAAGTATATACATGCGAAATTTAGGATCATATGGTGTGACTTGGATGTGCATGAATCAGCGACACCAATCAGGAGATGCATTCCATGGAGGCCCAGCTGCATTGTAAAATGTGCTTATTATTATCTGTGTGGTCCCTGTTAGTGTGGGATTACCCCTGCACAGATCAGTGAAAAAATACTTCTTTCATATCTTAAATAGGGCCTTGAATTATTTCACCATTGGCCATTGTAGAAAGATTTTGTTCCTTCTGCATTGCAATTATATGATTAACTGTAAGGAAAATGTGAGTCTAAAATAGGCAAGACACATGGCAGTAGGCATAATCAGGAAGAAAATGTCACTTCTACGGGTTATTAACTTGACATACCACTTAGAATCATGTCATAGGGAAAAAAATCTTGTTTTCACAGCCCGGCAGGCTAACTCTGCTTTGATTGTAAACCCAATGGGTTCGTCTTGAAAAGTCAATACCTAATTTACTGTAAATGAGAACAGCAGCATGCTGCCAATTTCAATACTCATGGCATCGGTACCAGAACTGTTATTTTCTTGCCTTCATCACAAGCACTACCCAAGGAACGGTGGGCTAATACTCCACAAACACTCCATTTCCTGCTTACAAATGTCTGATAAACTATTTGGACTTGGCAGTGTCGACCATGCATCATTTGTTATGGCCAGGATTGATGTTATGTCTAGAAATAGACTGAAATTGTATCTGGGGTTGACAGCTCAGAAGGCATAATAGCAGGTAGCACATATGGCCTTTAGTTTGGGATAAAGAGCCATTGGCATGATATATTGCATAGTCATATAGTCAGAGCACATTAGTTTCATAATTTCCCTATTAATGAATACTCTTACATTTCTGTGGAAATGAAAATGTTCACATATTGTTGGAATACTATTAGCAATTAGAGGGAAATTGGAAGATACATTCTTGCCAACGAGACATCGATTTTGGGTAGCCTACTCTTGTGGCCCGGCAAATATTTAATTTTCCAGTCCTCTCTGACCTCGGGAAGGGGATCATGACATGGACCCGGCCCAGGAGACAGAAATATAAGTTCTCTAGGTGGGGTTTTTAAGAAAGATTTTGTTTTTCTGATGAAGAGACTCACTATTTGTCTTCTGCCCCTGTTTTTTGCCTAGAAGTTGAGCATAATGCTGGGAGGTAGTCACGTTGTGATCGTGTAGCAAAAGGGCAAAACAATAAAGATGGCACAGCAGGAAAAGAGAAAGAACCTGGTGTCTGAGGTCATCTTCAAACCACTGCCCAGCCCTGGACAGCATGCCTCTGATCTGTTTCTGCAATACGAACACTCTTCATTCAGGCACTGTCAGTTGGATTTTCTGTTGCTTGCAACCAAACTCATTTCCAAATGATGCAAGAAAAATGGAGAAATTTTAAACAGAATGCCATGATGAAAAAACAGTTCAGAGAAAGTCTAGAAGTGCACTGTTCAATGCATAGTTATGACCTACATGGGGCTGTTTAAATTTTCATTACATTTAATTAACGTTAAATAAAAGTAAAAATTCACTAGCCACATGCCAAATTTTCAATTGGTCCCTGTGCCCAGTGGGTAATATTTTGAGTAGTGTAGATACAGAACATTTCTATCATTGAAGAATGTTCTATTAAATACTAATACTAATGCTATCTAATATTACTATCTAGTAATAATATTACTATCTAGTATCTAATCCTAATAGTATTACATACTATTACTATCTAATATTATTAGATAGTATTAGTTAAACTAGCTCTCAGAAGCAGGCATGGTGGTGCATGCATATAATCTCAGCACTTGACAGGCTGAGGCAGGAGGATCACCATGAGTTGGAGGCCAGCCTGGGCTATACAGTGAGTTCAAGGGCAGCCTGAATTACATAGTTAGATCTTGTTCACAAAACAAAACATAAACAAACATCAGCATTAAATGCACAAAAAAAGGAAGGCACTGTATTCGTAAATATTTGATACCAAGTTTGAAACCTTACTGTAAATGTTTTATAAATCAATTTTTTCTTCCTTAATAAGAGCTGTATGTTTGGAAGGGAAAATTGCTTTTGATAAGAAATTTACAGAATGGCTCACTTTCCTTGCAAATGAAGGAAGGCTAAAAGCAGCACCTGTGTCTTCACAAGGGAAAAACCCTGTTTTCCTGGTCTACTGCTCTTTGAAGATAGCACTCCTTGCTTTCTATCCACAGACTGTAAAAACAAATGTCATACAGTGTTCCCATCTCATGCTCTATCTTTCCTGACCACTCGCCCACAGATGTACAGCACAGGATGGGAGTTGAGAGGCTGACACCTCGCTCAGCTAGAGAAATTGCTTCTGGGAGGCTATGTGTTCTCACTACAGTGCACATCTGGCTTCACTGTGTATGCTGTGCTTTCCTGAGTCACCGTCCCGGTGGCTTTGACTAATACAAATAAGGTTGTCTCCATAGTCCCCATTCTTTCCACCAGCCAGCATTCTCAGTTTCTCCTTTAGAGGCTGACAGCAAAGAAAAGTTTAGATGTATTACTAGGAATAGGAGTAGACTGGTTCTTTTTCCTACCTTGGTGTTTTCTAGCACTGACCAAAACAGGGCAGGGCAACGAAAAGCATAGGGCTCAAACATGGCACCAGGAATCCCAATGTGAGTTTTGGGATATTTTCCGGGATGAAATTCTGAATTGGAGTCTGTGTAGACCTGAGCCAAAGTCTAATTCACCCACTCCCTTGCTGTTTGACCCTCCGCAAGATGGCTGGTCTCCACCACTGCCCAAATCAGGATTCAGAATCATGAAGATTAAAGTAAGATCGCAAATACAAAAAGCTGGAGCAAGGTGGATACCCACTTAGTTAGCTGCCAGTTTTCTCTGCTAAAGTACTGTAAGAGTCAGGTGCCTTACTAATTCAAAATGAAAAATACACCCAAAACGTTATGCATCCCTTCGAAGGCCAGCAGACCTATCATATTTAGCACCCTACACTGACAGGAAAGAAAATGGTCATAAGTACTCTCTTAATGATTGTGATTCTCTTCTTTTTTTTTTCTCCTGTCTCAAATTTAGTCTTGGTTAAAATCAAAAGTTCACAGAAACTGTTTACGGGAATTTTAGAGAGCATTCCTAAACCAAAAGCATGCACCTCTGGTTTTTAAAAAAATACACTGATCTGGTGGCAAAGTGTTTCTATCACTGGACGTACACAATATTAAACAGAATATAAAGGACAATACCTGTAAGATAATCCAGACATTCTAGCAGTTTCTTCTCTCGGGAAAAATCTAAGGCAAATGTGTCAAATGTGTCGTTGAGGTTGATTTCAGGAATTAGGACCTGAGAGGATGCAGTTGCCATGGAGACTCTGTAATTGAAACAAAACAACTTTTTAGAGATGTCAAGATGGATTTCATCCAGGTGTGGTGGTGCATGCCTGTAATCCCAGCACTCAGGAGGCTGGGGCAGGAGGATCGTTGTGGGTTCGAGACCAGCCTGGGCTACAAAGTCAGCTCAAGGCCAGCCTGAACTGCATAGTGAGACCCTGTCTCAAAAAGATTAAAAAAAAAAAAAAAAAAAAAAAAGATGGATTTCAGCATCATTGTGTGGGAATGAAGAAACATAAAAGGAAAAGGACTATCATTGAAAAAGCAAGTGTTCTTGCTTTTACAGACAGCTTTAGGGAGACTCTCCAGACAGCAGGGCACAGGAATAGAAAGCAAGCGAATGCGTGCTTAAAGATGCAGAGGAACTTGGAAAAGCAACAGAATGGCTTCCCCTTTCCTTTTTACTATCGGAAAAAGAATTCCCCGTGGAGGCGAAAGAATATTCATATTTCATGCTGTTGTGTATTTAACAGCCTGGCCCCATCACATCTAACCCCAGCAAGAAGCGCATAGCTCCAGGCATTTCTTCACACATCTGTCTGGAAAACTGTTTGTTCCTGAAGAATTGCCCCTGCTCCACTTCAAAGGGGAGTCTCCCAAATTTCCAACTGCATAAAAGGCAAAGTGAAGATTAAAAAAGAATGTTTCCAGATATCGGATTAGTTTAATCAATTACTAGCCTCCCTCTAAAATAAACTTAAGAAAAGAGTTTTTGTCTGGCTTGTTTTCATTCTCCTTGTATTCATTTTTTTTGCACCATATTCCCAGCAGATGCCATAGAAAATATTCATGAGCTTTTGTGCAGATTTCCCCAGTGACTGCATGGTGTCCTCTGTGTGTCAAGCTTGCTAGCAACTGCTCTCATGTACACACCAGGAAGCAAGGAATTGGAACAGACCAGTCTCCTTCTTGGTGCTCTTAAATTGACTTGTAAAGTTATTAACAGCAGAACAGTTTGACTGATTCAAAGATGCAAGTGAGTTTCTTACTACTCCTGAGCATATCAGACTACTTGTAATCTTGCTGAGTTTGGTACTTTGCTATCAAGTTCCTCCAAGTTGAGGGCACTGGGATGTTTTGTGGAAAGAAACAACTTTGAAATAATTCAGGTCTAAATCTAGTTACTTATTTTTGAAAAAGCACCATTGATGTTCACTTGTACAAGGCCAGTAGGAGAATTTCACGTTGACACACTTCCACTCAAAACAGGACATTTTCAGTCCAGTTACTCCAAGGGTTATATTCATGTTTAAATTGTTTAGTGGGTCTTAAAACTTTGGATTTTTAGAAAGACACTATATTTTGACTATAAAAATTATATCTGTGGGGGGCTGAGGATTTAGCTCAGCGGCACAGTGCCTGCCTGGCAAGCGCAAGGTCATGTATTGGAAAAAAAAAATTATACTTGTGGATATACCCATGGAGTGGATTATTATTCAACCATGAAAAGGAATGAATTCTGACACATGCTATACTATTGAATCGGTGAACACAGTGCTAAAACTAATTAAGCACAAAAGACCATATATTGTGTGGTTCACTAGTATCAAATATCCGTAATAGGCAGAATTGTACACTTTCAGTTGGTTATTTTATTTTATGTGAATTTAACCTCAGTAAGAAATTACCTTTGAAATGTTCAAAATCCTCATAACTATAAGGACATAGGAATTTGTATTCCTGGAAAATTTTCATTGTTATATAGGGAGGGAAGGAGGTAGATTGATTACCAATAATGACCTAATGGGAATAGTATTAGGATCCACACATGAAACTTAACAGATATGAACTCTGAAAAGAAGGGTTTCACTGTCCATAGGAGGATAAGGAATCTAACTTCACTTCTGCACTGATTCACCGAGAAGCAGTGCATAGCAGAGCTGTGTGATTTTACTGGCTAATTGCACTCAAAGGAATTGGGCTAATTGTTGATACTAATAACTGCTAATTTAGAATACTGGATATGAGCATGCTTGGTAGTTCAAATTGAATTTTCAGCGAATATGTTTAGGATGCCCTTAAAGTATGCCAAACACTAAAAGAGCCCCAAATATTTGCACCTTTGCAGAGAAGGTCAGAGAAATGCTACAGTGTCATTTGCGCTCCTCAAAACACATTTCAAAGTGACGACCCTACTTACTTCTCTTTCATTACACCCAACAGGAAGGACCGCACCAGGCTGTGTGGAAACAAGCACCCAATTTATGATTGCATGGCTCTTCTGCTCACACGCAGCACAGACTGTGTGCCCAACAGGTCAGACTGCCCTGTCCAGAGGTAATCTGGCTCTAGTGTTTCTCTTGCCCAACGGCAGTAGTAGCTGCTTTGTTCAGGCTCATCCAGAATAGATTTTGTTCCAACTTTCTTGTAATTCTATGGACAATAAAGAATTCAATAAAGTGGACTTTCATTGAGGGACGTGTTAAAAGTGCCTGCCTTCTTGACGGTAGGAGTGCTGTGTGGGAACCAAAAGGACGGAGGTACCCAGCCTGGGAGGCAAAGACTGACAGCAAGAAGCTTTGGAGATTACTGCAGCTTTTAACACCTACACAGTCTTTTCTTGATGGAAGGAAAGATACTTATCATTGGCCATAATTTCAAATTCTTGATTGGAGTGACAGACAAGGGGAAATCTGCCAAATTCAACATTTTAGGCCATGTTTTAATTTCCCAATCCCTTGTTGCCCATCTTCCAGCCTTTTAGATGAATTTCCAACACCCACTAGGGTTGTTGGTACGTCACTGTCTCAGTTCTTTGCTTTACAGTTGTGTGTCTGTGCATATGTGTGTGAATCTGTGCATAGCATACACATGCAGATATGTGTGTGTGTGTGTGTGTGTGTGTGTGTGTGTGTGTAGGTCTTAACATGTTAGAGCAAATAGAGCCTGTGTCCCATCCTGACACTTAAGCGAGTGGAGGTACACACTGCTCTCTGTTTATATTTCTGCTTTGAACTCTAATCTAACCTCCAGGACACTTGGCTGTTAGTGACCATATAGGGCCAGTTTTCCAGAAGGTGGAAGAACTACACTGTTCACAAAGCTTCTGCCAAACAAAGCACATCGTCATGGTAGAACACAGTGAGTGTCACAGTGACAAAATGTGCAGTACTTTGGCCAATCTGGGCTGTCCCAAGCACGTTTGGCCCTGGAACCTGTTGTTATCATAATACTTATTAACACTACAGACTTCAAAACCCACACATGTGATGTGTGGGTTCCAAAAGTAAGTGACATCTTTCCAGAGCTCACAACTGGCATTCTTAGTTTTATCTTCTGGAAAAGCCTGACAAATCCTTGATCTGCCTGTGATGGTGAGGAACACAGGGCTTGCCTTGGAGTTGGAGAACCTCCAAGAACCTCTGAAAAATGGATTCTGCTTGAGGAAATTTTGTTCATTTGCTGCTAAAAGCAATTCTACTTTTTGATTCTTTGTAAGCAATAGAGCAAGTCTTTTATGCCCACATTTGATGGAAACTTTTGCTCACTTAACATGTTAGAAAGGTGCCCAGATAATCACACCAAACACCTATGTATTAGTGTGCTTGAGAATATAATGTGTTACATATTAAATTTACATTCATCCAGTAAATAAGAAGGAAATTAGCATTTGTTGCATATTCACTTTGTGACAGAAACTGGGTTAGCTAATGTTTTTACTTTATTATTATATTTCATCCTTATAACAGCTATATTATACAGGGAAATTCAGCCCCGTACATGGATTCATTGGCTCATATATTCATAGTAGGAAGTTTGCAATGTGCTGGGTCTATAATAGTGAAAACAAGATGGCCAGGAATCCTGCCCACTTGGAGCATATAAGCAAAATCAGACTCAGAAGTGTTAATGAGCAGCCTCAATGCTATCCATAATTACTAGGCAATTATCTCATAGCTAAACAGTTGGTTACAAAGCATATGCATCTCCTACAATGTAAAGCTTGAGGCTCTATGTCCTTTTGGGGGTGCTTGACATTTCTGAATTGAAAACAGGTTTTGCAGTTTGCAATCAGCTTATAGGAAAACATATCCCTTTAGGTGATTTAATGATGTAGGAAGATCTCATCTAAATCTCCCTTTAGGAATACCTGTAGGATTTAAAGTCTGTTCTATGTTCCACACTTGAGTAAAAGAATAACGATGATCTGGAAGCACTGTATTATGGGAGTGAAAACCCAGGGCACACACAAGACTAGACCAAACTGGGAAATCATGTCCTAGAGAAGCATGTTAAATGACAGGTTGAAGAACAGAGGCAGGCAGACATAGAGCAGCACTGAATACACAAGACGGATCATATTGAAATATGAAAACACTATATCAGCTTGCATTTACAGAATGCCTGGGATGCTTGAGACCATTTTCTGAGGAATATCCAGAAAAATTTCACAATACAGATTAGCTATTATGAGCCCAATTTCTGAGTAGCAAATAGCTTAAAGAGTCACACTGAAAAGGGAACATTGTGTGGATTTGAACCCAGGTCTCCAAACTTCTTATCTGAACCCAGTGTGCTTTTACTACATGCCAGCTCCTGGAATGAGAAAAGCTCAGTAATTAACCCAGATGTTTGACAAACAAGAGATGGGAAGAAGAGGGGTTACAGAAGGACAAGGACTTCCAGCAGATTTTTACCACGCTATGTACTGAAACTCAACAGAAGCTCATTCTTCACCGTAAAAGGATTGAAAGTCATGTTCCCATTTCTGATGCAATGGGCCTGTTACGAGGAGAGCCGAGAGGGATCAGATGTACCCTGACAGGTCTGCGGGAGATCGCAGGTGTGTGCTCATGTGCTTGTGCTGGCCTTCAACTGAGTCTGTGCCCTTCTGGCAGAACTGCTGGAGGGTCTCATTCTCTCTCAACTGTGAGGGCAGCTTACTTCTGTGACACTCATCGTGATTTGTAGGGGTTGCCTAAGATGCATCTCATAGAACCCACTTTATCTGGATATCACCCCATCCCCAAGTAGAGACACAGACTCTTGGATTCCAGATTGGGAACCTGACCTCAGCGTAAATGCTGCTATACTGCCCTGCGTCCACTGCCCTCTTAGTGCTGTCTGAAGTTTTTAACTTTAGGATGACTGATGAGCAGTTGGTCACCATCCGGAGGAGAGTGGTACAAACAAACACTCGGAACTTAGGAGGCATGAGGAAAGAAACTGGCCTGTCTTTACAGTAGGGAGGAGAGCGTTTTCAGGACATGAAAGCGATGATAGCCAGCTGTTACCCTTGTCCTTTAGAAGAGATAAGTATCTCATCTGCTGCAAAAGGAAGTTTCTCAAATGTAAGAAGTAACACCACGAAGCTTGCAGGCTAGTGGATTAAAACTATAAAAATGCTGTACGCTACTCTTAAGAACAGTGAAAATGGAAATACCAAGGCCTACCTCTAGATGTTATTTTGAGAATTATTAGCAGGGTGTCTGACACAGGCAATCACGTAATAAATGTTGGTTTCATTTTTCCTTCTTTGAAGACATTCCAGTCATAAGATGGTGAGCATATTTTCTCCCCTAGGCCATGGGCTGGCAAAGTGGAACCTGCAGACTGTTTTGTAAATGGTTTTATTGGCAGTCAGCCACACCCATTTGTTTCCATATTGTCTGGCTGTTGTGGAGCTACAAGGCAGGGTTGCGTAGCTGTAGCCCAGACCTTACAACCTGCAAAGCCGCAAATACTTTCTGATGCTTTACAGAGCCTGTGCTCTGGGATAAAGACCATCACAAATGACCACTTTGGCATCTTTTAACCATAAGATTCCACTATTGCTTTGCATGAAGGACAACTTCATCAAAAATCAGAATGAATGACAAGTCAAGGTCATTGGCAATTGCTCACAGATGTCATTTATATGGTATTGGTTGTACTCAGCCCGGCTTAGTGCTCCTTTTTTGGAGCCACTCGAGTTGCTACAGATGTTTGCATCCGTGGAGAGGAGTCATTTGTATGCCAATCAGGTAGGTGTGCTAAAGGAATACTCATCCTTGTTAGGTTTACTGCTGAGCTGGCTCTTCAGATAACATCATTTTTAAATTCCTTCATGTGGAACAGAGAGTATTTTAAAAGAAGGCTGCATGAGAGTCAGTTTGGCCCTTTTTCTGCTGCTTTAGTCAACTCTGTCATTCTCTGGTAAGGTCCAGCTCCTCAATCACATAAAAACAAGCCTAACAGAGAACATCTGTGCCATAGTTTTTTAGATAAATAACATGCAATGGAAGATTCCTTTTTATATTTTATCTTTATTTTGACTCTGTTACCAAGTATATGATGAAATCTGGTCTGACAGTCACAATGAATACTGTTCCGGGGCCAGCATAATCCCCCCACCCCAGCAGGTTGATTTCATTCTGTCTCACTAGTTAGTAGACTCTCACTTCAAAGGCCTTCAAAGGCTGTTACGAAAAGGGCATCAAAGGGAAGCATCTTTAGCTGGAACAAACAGCTCAAGGCCTCTGTTCTCCCTGGTACTGGGCCTTGAAAATGAAAATAAACGCTAGGCAAGCGCAAGGCCACCTAATCACGGCCCCATACCAGCGACTAGGAGCCTGAGAACTTCCCAGCGGCCCATCCACTCACCTCTCAGTGATGTTCTTAGCTGTCTGTAGGAAGCGAGCATGATCATTCTCCTTCAGAGAGTGTTCTGCTTGTGAGATGAGGGATGCTGACCGTTCAATGCACTGCTTGCAGTTTGCAATCTGCTGAGCAAGTTTGCGAAGCCTCATCACCTTGAACAAAAGAGACAAGGAGACACACGGGTAGCTAGGTGGGCTCCCTTAGTGAAAAGACAGCAGGCTGGACCCTTCGGATGTAGCCATTGTGTTGTACCTAAACCATCTTTCCATAAAAATTCACAACATACACAGACAGTGAGATCAAACTCTGGAAAGCCCAGTTATGGGACTCTTGCTTTAAATATATTTTTTATCTCCTGGAAGAAGTGGTGCTAATTCGTTTTATGAGGAAATACTGAATTTCTAATTGCTTCCCTGTTGATGGGGAAAGAAAAGGTGTTGCTCAGTGGCAACTTACAAAGGGTCGCCAGATCTCTTCCCGCCACTTTCCACGCAGTTAATACTAGACCACAGGGGGCCCTGGGACTTTCTCTATCGCAGTTTTTCAGCTGTGCTCTCAAGAAAATAAAACATCTCTATAGGCACAAATTTGAAGCTTAAGTAACAACTAGTTTCTAAAAAGTTCTTTGTGAGCCATGTAATAAAATTGTATTGTAAAAGCTTTAGGTATTACTATTTCCCACACTACCTAAAACTCATGTGTTAAATTAACAGAAAGGGAGCATTTTTCCCATTGATTAATATTTTTCCTGTTGAGCAGATGAGAGAAAGCCAAAAAAAGCACAGCTGGGCCATTTCCTCTGCTGGGAACGTCATTTCCAGGCACTTTGTGCTTGCTTGATAACTAAGAACTATTTTGATAAGCATTTCCCAGTTGGGATAAAAATGAATATTTGCTTCACAACCTCCATTCCAATTGCTGATTCCGTCTTGCTTGAAAATGACCCTCGAATGTAATTGACCATAACCTCTCAGGCAGGCCAAGAGAAGTCCAAGGTAACCCACTTGACCACCACTCTAGCGTTTGAAAGTACTGAGAGATGAAGCCCTCTGGCTAGGATCCAAGTTAAAATTAGACTGCTAATTGGAATTGCCTTGTGCCTAGTGCCCCCGTCCACACACCCGGGGACAGGTTTTGGCTGGCTTTATGATAATTCCAAACGGAAAATAGCCTTGGGTGAAAGGGTAAGGAGGAGGCCGGCTAATCTGTCTTACAGACAAGGCTGGCTCAGTCTCCCTCCAGAATTCCTGCTAACTCCAAGAAATTTCTTCTTTCTGAAAGTCATCATTATCATCCCCAGACAACTCTAATCGAAGAAAAGGAAGGAAAGAGATGTCAGAATTGAGGCCTCTAAGGAAAAGGCAATTCCAAGTATGTACTGCAGCAAACAAAGGAGGCCAGTGCTGACTCAAGAGCCACAGGCACAAGATTTCAGGCAAAGGTGAGAAAAGCTACCGAAGGGAGAGTTAGAGAACAAAATATCAGCACATTGGGACAAACAGTATGTGATGCTGAGACTGGGGAAAGTTTTGACTAATTATGATTGCAGCTACTGCCCCGACAGTTAACTGTGTATATTAGTTGAGTAAAGTAAGCCTTATTTTACCACATGTAGAATTTAGCTTTTGGCATCATTACAGCCACAGGCAAAGCCAAAGAAGCCATCCAGTCCAGTCCAGGATATTAGAACACACCCAGTAGAAACTGTCAGGGCAAAGAAAAATTCCAGGAGGGAAAATAACTTATAATCCCTAGAACAAACCAGTGGATGAGCTATTTAATCAGACAACACAAGGTAAAATTACATGGCAAAATTGAAGATGTTTAATACAATTCTAAAAAAAGAAAATACGGTCAAAATATCCCTTTAGAAGAATTGCATGTGAATCAATTATCCTTTGGCCATGGAAGATAGAGACCATACAGATTATAAATGTGATGATGGATGGAATCTACTTTCATCTTTTTCTGCTCTTATAATACTGGAAATTAAAAGTGACACTGGAGGAAAAGAAAAAAAGCCCTAAATTGAGCATAAATTAAAGCAAGACAAAACAAGGGCTTTTGGGGAAAATACTAGAATGTTCTTCAGAGAACATGGGACATAATTTTAATTATAGGTCAATGTACAATTCCACCTGATAAACCCGATCAGAGCTTCTCAAACATAGGGTTCAAAAAAAGAAAACAAATCACCCAGGACCTTTTGAAAAGAAAAACTGTAGATGTGATGGTGCACCATTCTGCTTAAGGAGTCTGCACTTCAACAAGCAGTGAATGTTTTTGAATCTTCAGGTGATGAACATTAGCACAGTCAGGAGTAGCATTTAGGAAATCAAGTAGATGAGGAGAAAAGTACGTACCAGAGAGCACTCTTGGTAGAAATGGGCAAGTCTGATTTTCCAAAACATTTTTAGGTGTGGTGGCTCATACTTGTAATCCCAGTACTCTGGGAAGCTAAGGCAGACAGATCACAAGGGTGAAGGGGCCCAGAGTGAAGACTTGGGTTAGATCCCTAGAATGGCCAAAAAAAAAAAAAAAAAAAAAAAAAGAAGGGTGTGCATGCATGTGTGCATGCATGAATGATTTCAGCACTGGGCTGTGAGCTAAGTATTTCCTAGAGTAAGTTGCATTATTTAAAAGAGAAAAGCAAAATATTGCTATAAGTTATGTGTTTCAGCCTGTTTGTGTAAATAAAGATTTATTGGCATACTGCTGCTCTTATTCAGATATGAGACATCTACGGCTACTTTTGTGCCATGACACTGGGCAGAAATCAATTGTTGCAACAGGGACTGTGTGGCAAAGTCTGAAGGCTTAGCAGCCTTTCACAGCAAAAGTTTGCCAACTCCTAGCTGCAGTGATTCCGGTCAGATGATCGGAGCCCCGCTCTGGAACACTGTCCTACGTGCTATAACCCTTTAAGTGCTGACACACAGCACTAAATAAAACACTTAGTTTTTCATTAAGTAATACTTTTAATATATCATTTTAAAAATTCCAACAAGACAAATATTTAAAAGAAGTACTAGGATTCTATGTAGGCATATCTTAATGCTGCGGGGGGAAAGATTTGTCAGCCAACTCTTAGCCTTTCCCTTAAGAAGTGACACTGTCAGAATAACTTTTGGAATTTACCCTATATTCAGCATGGGAATATTTTGTCCATCATAATTGCCTTTTAATGGGGGACACAAGACGATGACTGTCATTTTATTTGCTGTTTATACACCTTCCGCACTCTTAAAGGCAAGCTTACTTTACTTTACATGCTTTTTAATATGTATTCATGTAGGTGTGCAACCCCAAAGTGTTGTGCCTGAACACTGAATCCTCTCAATTGAAACAAATGTGAGAATTGACCGGGAGACCTGGATTCAGCATCTCTTCATGGCTGTGGAAAGTTCGGCTGTTTAATCCCTATTAATTCTCTAAAATTTTGAAGAATGGGAGTACATTGAAAACAGTGAAGAGAAGGGACCTTCTTGCTACCCACCTGTGGCCTTCACTACAGTAAGTTGAACACTGAAGTTGCAAATTTTCAGAAATAGGAATGGACCTCACATTTGGAACAATCATAGATACACACAAATCACGGAAGTAGCTTATGTGTGTGCCGGACATTGTCACAGTCGTGTTGCTCTGTGCTTATTGTACAATGCTCAGTCAGAGCCCAGGATGTCCATAAGCATTATTTACAGTATTTGTGTGTGTGTGTGTGTGTGTGTGTGTGTGTGTGTTTTCTATGGTTTATATTGCATATTTGTGTCAAAGGTGTATAAGACTCACTTGGTTGGATTTATGAACAAATCTGACTGATGAACGTTCTCCCTGAATGGAACTCGTTCTTAACTCAGGGACTCATTGTATACTACAGTTTGTCTGAATGTCAAGCACACTGACTCACTTCATCAGGAGTTTGCCATCAGCTCTTGAGGGTGACATGAAACATACGCATACCCCCTACTACTGAGTAAAAACAGAAAATTCCTTCCTAGGCAGTCTCCTGGCCAGAAACTCCCATCTGTGCAACTATAAAGACCGTGGAGCTCTTTCCTTCACAGTATGTACAATGTCTGAGAACAGAAACTACAGCATGTGCTAATATGTCACTTGTCACCCACTGCTAACATCTCCTGCTGCGGGCTGTGTGGTAGGCAGGCTTCTGTCAGGTTACCAGGGCCAGGGGCCAAGGGAAGAGGCTGACGAAATGTACTTTTGTGGTCACAACTGTGCCTGCTTCTCCCTCTACCCTCCCATTTCCAAGTACTTCTCAGAGGCCCCACTGTCCCTGCCCCTGGCTCTGCCCTCAGACTGCCTGTTCGCACTCCGGGCCATAGGGACCCAGCCCCACAGTGAGTCCCTGCTCTGCACTTTGCCGCCCTACCTGACACCTCAGATTTCCAGGCTGTTGGTCTTCATATCTTTCCTCTTGGAAGTACGCTAGTGACACAGAATACTCCGGCCAGGGACTCAGGTCACTGTGCCTTCCACGCTTTGAGGTCAATCAGTCCTTCCTCAAGTACTACCCCAAAGCAAATCTGAACTGGGCCCCCTCTTTCCCAAGTATCATCTGCCTTATAGTAACTGCCTTCTGAAATAATGTCCCTGAGCAAATAACACACTCTTTAAAAAGTGAACAACTTTTAAAATACAGAAAAATGTAAAACATAACACGATGAACTGTCTTATGCATGCTACCAGCCTTACCGAATCTCAATATTTTCATTGTACCAACTTCAGATTTTTCAAGAAGAGGCAAAATATCTATAGCAGTAAAGGCCCTGTGTGGCCCTGCAAGACCTCATTTATATCTCTCCAGAAGAAGAGTTTCTTGAATTCAAACTTGTGAATTCCTAAGCATGTTGTTGTACTCACGCCTAAACAATGTATAGGGCCCAGGGGTAATTTATCAAATGTTACACAATTCTTCTTGTTCTATTCAAATCATAAAATTTCCCCATATCTGGTGATTTGTCCAGACTAATATATATCACTAGAGTGATTACTTCATTTGCTTCAACTTCTGAAGATTTTCATTATATAATATAAAATTTATATGTTACAGTCAGCTTTATTGAGATATAATTAATACACAATAAACTGCACGTACTTGAAACATACATGTGATCACTTTTCCAATATGAAACACTCATCATTTGTTTTATGTTTCAGTCTTTGCTTTACAATTTCATGTTCTAGTTTTTGGTCTAAAATAGTTCTTTCTATTCCGAGCTCTTGTACACATCTTCTGTTAAAATGTTCGATATCAAGGTCATACATTCTGCATAAAATGTATTTTCTGAAACATTTTATATAAGGATGATATTATCAGTTAAACTTGGGCCTGGTGTTATTTGTAGGGGGCTGGGGAATGTGAGTTGAGGGAAATGTTCAATTAATAATTAAATATCTTTGCTTTTTAATTTTAGGGTTACTTAGGTTTTCTACTACTTACTTAAGTTTTCTTTTTTTTTTTTTTTCTGGTTTTTCTCCGGTACCGGGAACCGAACTCACAACCTTGCACTTGCCAGGCAGGCGCTTTTGCCGCTGAGCTAAATCCCCAGCCCCCTAAGTTTTCAAATTATTGAAAAAAATTAATGTAATTTTTTTATGATTTAAAAAAACTGTCTTGTCTTTAAATGAGATTTTTAGAGGACACCCCCCATCCTTTTTGCTTATTGATGTCTAATACAGCTTTGCCTCATGAATTACTTTTTACATTTATGAATCTTCTTAATATGGATTGGCAAGCTTTTACTGTAAGGGCCAGATAGTCAATATTTTAGTTTTGGGAGAGTACATGGTGTCTCTGTAATACATACATTTCTGTCTTTCTTTTATTAACATGCTTTTAAAACTAGTGAAAATTCATAATTGTTTCAATGTTAAGACTATGAGCTCTTTATTGCTGACACCGATTTTGTTCTCTTTTTTTGTTTTCATTTACTTCTCCTTTGTTTATTATTTTTGTTTTCTTTCATTGACTATTCTTTTATGCTTTCTCTAACTTTACTTAAAAACTATTGTTTTACTTCCTATATACTTTTTTTCATTTTAAAGGAATTAAATGTTATCAATTTGCCTTCAAATACTTTTTTGCTGCTTAAATATAGATCTTTCATTGTGGTACACTTCTAACTTTTAAAAATTTATTTATTTTTTTTTGTCTTTTTGAGACAAGGTCTCACTATGGAGTTCAGGCTGGCCTTGAACTCACTTTGTAGCCCAGGCTAGTATTGAACTCGCAATGATCCTCCTATCTCAGCCTCACAAGTGCTGGGATTACAGGCATGTGCCCCCACACCTGGCCCTAAAAAAATTATTTTGAAAATTTATTTTTATAAGAACACATTTTAAAGTTTCCAAATGTAAAAACTATTTTTATTGAGGATTATATCTAATTAGATATACCATATGGTCTTAGAGGAGGGGTTATTTGGTATTCAATCTTTATAAAATTTGCTGATACATCCCTTCCAACTAAGTATCTGATTTTTTAAAAATGTTCCATGTGTGGATTTTCATATATTGTTTCCTAATCATTGAGTTCCAACTCAGAGGACATCTGCCGAGCCTTCATGTCGCTGACTCCTTTGTGTCTTCCTGTACATACAGAATTTCACGGGCAGAGGCCAAAACTCAAGTTTCCAAACTTCTTTTGCAGCTGTTTCCTTTAAAAGTGTCTACATTTACCTTCAAAACTTCTCCTTTCTTGCTTTCTATTTTTCTTATTTTATTTCTGTCATGTTTTCACGTTTTTCTCTTTCAAAATCAAAGTTATTCCTTCATTTGTCTCTTTGAACATTTTAAGACTACATCTTTTGAGGTTTTTCTTTTTCATTTTTTCCCACAAAACTAATTTCATCTCTAAGGTAGTGTGGTCTCCTGATTTTGTTGGCTATACTTCTAGGAATTTCAGATTCCTTTATTTGCTTTGGAACTGAGCTTAGAGTTTCAGTTTTGAAGGGAAGAAGTCATGTCTTCTTCCCCCAATCAGTCTACCACATCTGACAGCTCTCAGCGTCAGCATTCAGAAATTTGTTCTTGTCTCTGTGCTTCCAAGGCTCTTGTTTTGTAGGTTATCAGAAAGAATATAGCACAGGCTGCAACCCAATTGTTGATTTGTTCCCAGAGTCCCGTACCTAAAGCTTGTTTGCCAAAAGCTATGACACTAGCCAGAGGTTGGCAGAATAAAATAATACGTTCTAAAGCTACCAAAATTTTTGAATACATAAGAGAGTATTTACAAAGATTCTACATTGTATCTTTGAATACAGCTCACTGTAAAGTCATAAAAATTAAAACATATGAGCAATAGAGAAGTAACACTTAATACATCCACAAAGGAGAATAAGATTCAGTGAAAATAAGGATTTTTGCAAGTATGAAGTTATATCTATGTTAATTCTCCCAAGGGCACAGGGAGTGCTTTATAATTTCAATATTTAAACTGTGGTTCATTTTTAATTTATTTAATGTCGTGCTAATTGCTAAGATATAGCAGTAAGTATGAAATGAACCCACTTTCTCATAGACAAGTGATATAGAATACAATGGGCATAACAGACATAATAATAAGCATTCAACATGAAATAGACTAAGACTTCACAGGGGATGATGGAAAGTGCAGGGCAAAAGGTGCTTACAATGTACAAAGCCACTGAAATATCAGAGTATATTTTCTCCATTAGAAGACACAAAATCTCCTAGAAATCATACCTTCCCTTCTTTTATCTTGGTTCCAATAATTTGTCGTCTTTGTTGAATGATTTCAATGAGAAGATCACACTCCTCTGTCAGTTTGGCTTCTTGACGTGATGCATTGACCTACAGGACAAATAAAATGGGGAGTGTAAACTTAGCCTTTGTTTTCAGTTAAATACTCTTTTAATGTAGAGTAACATGTTTCCATTAACCCTTGACATATGTTTTAAATATTAATTCTCCCTCCTATTATGCAAGAATGGCAAATATAGGATGTATGGGTCTACTTCCCATATTGTATTCTTGGACAGCATTATTTAATGATAATAATCTTTTCTTCCAAGCCAGAACACAACATGGGCATAGCTATTACCAGCCAGTTAGAAGTTGACATATGAAGTGAAATACATTTGTACGTATTATTTTCATATTTTGAGAAAAGTGTTCAGATTTGTCTTGTTAAAAATAAAGTGTTAAAAAAAAGTCTTATTGTTTTATGGAAGACAGACTACTATCAATGACTTTCAGAGAAATTCTCCAAAAACAATGTGCAAAGTTCACACCATAGTTATTTAATTGTAGACATAAAATTTTTATTTAATCCCTATAAATCATCAAAAATTACAAAAAGAATGGTTTGAAATTTTCTGCATCTATGACATAATTTTAAATTTTACTTCTGGTATACTAAAAGACCAGCGTTCTACAATGACAGCATCTCATTCTTGGGAAAAGGTGGATCATTACAAAATGGACTGTATTTGAAAGTTTTAAGACTCAATGTATGCAAGGGCAAGTTACAATTATCTCATCCTTCGCAACGGGGCTTGGGATATACTCTTAGCAGGGCATTTATTCCTAACAATTCTGAAGTGTTTATTCACAAAGAGAAACCCAGAAATCATAGCTGTGGGAGATGAAGGCAGCATGTATGCATGTTATTATTTTAGCACAACTGCTGAAGTTGTAATGTTACAAAGAAGCATAATGGCATTGATTATTCAATCATATCTCTGAAGAGCAACAAGGCCCAGTTGGGAGACCCTTTAATTTGGGAGACTTTAACAGGAGTCATTTCATGCTTTATAAATGAGATAAACTGGAAGTGGGGCAATGAGGATAAAATTCCACAGATCGTGCCTCAGAAAAAAAAAACATGTCCCATTTCCATATGCCCATGATCCCTGGAATTTTATTTCTTTCATCATCAGATACAACATAAAGACTAGTCAAGACATATTACTGAGAAAGTAATGGTCACCAGCCATTTGTAGCAAAGCATGACATCATATCCTACATTATAATCAGCACACAGAGGTATTTGTTGAATGTTTATTTAATTAATAAAAAAGTTTTGAATAGATTGATTGGCAAGTGCAGAATGTGGAACTTGGGTTAAAACCTAAGGAAGATAACCACTGAGCTCAATTTATCTCACTTTTATGTCATTATTTCTACTGCCCCTTGAGGTTTTCCAAATAAATTCAGCGTTCTATTGAAGTGCTTACTTGAAATTTACTCTCAATAAATTTCTTATCTTTCCTTTAGACTTCAAACTGGATTTAATAACTGACCACAACTGAGCTGTAAAAGGAAGGGACATTATTGATAACATGAGCACATTATGATAGAGGAAGTGAAATGTCTGGAATGTAGCATGGGTAAAGATTCTTTGCTTGACCAAACTTTAGTCAGGCTCCTTCTCCCAGGCCCATTGCTGCACTTCCTTTTAAAACTGAGTGTTAGTAAGAGCCCTGCTATGTTGGTTTGTCAGGAATGCTTCATCCGCCATGTTCAGTCACCCTTAATATCTGATCTTCATCTTTCACCAACACCCCAGCTGTCTGATCACCTTGGCCTGGTTTCAGCAAGAATTCTACTGGGTTTGCTTAACAGAATCCCCCTCGCTCTTGATCTTCCTCTCAATGGGATCCATTTTAGTCTCAAAATTGTTGGAATTCGAGCTCCTCATGGTAGTAAAGTATCTAAGTCATCATTGCAAATGGAATTCAATTTAGTCTAAATTCTGACTATTTGATTTTTAAGATGGATAGGTTAGCTTCACCAAAATAGTAAACTGAAATCTGTTTTGGTGAGCCAAATATGTTCTGAGAAATCTGATACTACAATCACCATCACCTCAAAATTGTAAATTCCCAGAAATTTGGGAACATGATCTGTTCATTGTAGGCCAAGTGTTTTCCCTAAATCTTTTAAGGAATATGGATTGAACTCTTTAAAACTAAGAAAGCTGAATCTTTTCTACTTTGATGAAGTTCCAAATTTTCATTAATTCTAGCATTCTCATATTCCTAAAGGTACAATAAAATAAGCTGAATATTATCCTGTATTTCTGAAATTATTGTACTACAATGTAGTTTTCCACAGTTTTGCTATTTTTATGTCACTTAAAGAGAGCTAATGGTTTGATTGGACTTCATTTCTTATATGAATTATTCATTCCAGTATGGCAAGGTTTATGGGTAACTTGCAATGTATATGTTCAGGTATTTCTAGTCCTCAAGCTTTAGCTTTCATTTTGGATTCACATTTTTGATCCAGAAATCACTGCAGCTGATAGAAATGCTCTAAGTAGCGCCCATTTAAGGATGGAAGAAATAACCTCCAAATCTTCTTCCCTCAACCTACACTTCCATTTTTGTGTCATCAGCCTAGTTTTTGGTCCCTAAACTAAAGGTAAGAGTGCAGTGGAGATAATTAGCGATGATGCCCAATAGTAGTGATTACTGTAACCCACTTCTGGACCACATTGGAAATGGGACCCTGGTTCTTCAGAGCCCTTGGCTTCTCAGAACAAAATACAGCTTAACATAGCTTTTCCCATGCTAGCCTTGTCACTGCTACGTTCTTCAGGCATACTGAGGAACCAATATCACATGAGCCCCTGTTCCTGCGAAACTCAGTTGTTTTTGAGAAACGCTCTCTTTTGGCCTTACCTATGTGCTCAACCTTCACTATACATAGCTTCATTTGTCCTCCTGAAATGCCCCATCTTCTCAATATTTTCTACCATTGGGGCTGAGGATTTAGCTCAGTGGCACAGCGCCTGCCTGGCAAGCGCGAGGTCATGAGTTTGATTCCCGGTACTAGAAAACAAACAAACAAACAAAAAAAAATTCTACCATTCCTTAGAAGTAGCTTCATGTCTTTGCAATATACTCCCAATTCCTTGAGAGGTAGCTCCAATTTCAATTCTTTCCAAATTGAGAATTTATCATCATCTATTTTATAGATGCTAACCATTATCTGAGGCTGTAAGTGCCATAGCCAATCTCATGCCAGATTGAATCCTACTTTTAAAAAACACTTGCAACTCTTACTTTGAAGGTGCTGAACTCAGTTGTTCATTCATTCATTCATTGAAAGATAGCTACTGGGTTCCAACAGTGTATCAGATAGCAAACAGTGGGTTACAAGAAAGGTAAAGTCCCCCTTATCACAGAGTTTACACGTATAGAAAAAAGGGAGGAATACGTAAACAAGTAAAAATTTCAGTTCACGAGTGTATAAGAAAATTAGACTTAAAAAACATGATCAGACAGCTGAGAGTGGGCTAGTTTTTATTGATGGTCAGACAAGAATTCTCTGACAAGTTCTTTGAGGGATGAAAGGGAACCAGCCACAAGATGTAGAAAGAGTGTTTTAAGGATCTCCTGACCCTTCATTCAACAGGCGAAGTTCCTCAAAATTGCATTCAGTCCATACCTCCTACTTGGGACCAGGTTTCAAAATATTTACTTGTAACCCCTAAATCAATACTTGTGGCCCTTTTGCCTCTGTTTACCGATATGCACAGAGCATGGGAACATGTGAATTGACTTGTGCATACCCAGCTGAGGGTGAGCAAGGTGATGTTCTGCCTTCTGCGTTGGCTTTCATAATCACAAGAAGAGAATGACAGAGGAGGCTCCTCCACAGGGATCACTGAGTAGGGCTAGAGTTCCAACTCTAACACGTGTTACTAGAGTGGTCTTAGGCTACTCACTTACTTCTAATCATCCTTTGCTCTTTTGTAAAATAAAAGAAAATAGAATCTATCAATATGAGTTGGTTTAGGATGTAAAATTATAATCTTGTTTTGATATGTGTCTCTATATGCACGTAGTAGAAATAGTTCTATATTCAAAAATTCAGTGCAGGACCTGGGATATAGCTTAGTGGCACAATGCCTGTCTGGCAAGCACAAGGTCTTGCGTTCAATTCCCGGTACCAAAAGAAAGAAGAAAAAATATTCAAATCATATGGTGACTTCATAGAGTATAACTACTGCAAATAGCACACATCACTTGTATTTCCCTTTTATCTGGTATGTCCATAGTTTCTGTAAGCATTTTGGGAACAAGGATGGCAGAATGGGAAAGGAAATTACATAAATAGAACACTGAACAAGAGTTTTGCCTGTAGGGAGTTGCTGGCCCACTTTTCCAGTTCTGAGGGTAATTTTGCCACTTCTCAGACTGTGAACTTCTGATCCTCTATGGTCTGATTGGAAGTGGAAAGCTCAATAATGAAGTGAATGCAGGATGTAAACACTCCTGCCTAGCCCTTCTGCACCTGAGATCAAGGTCAGCATCAGGGTTGTTCTGCTGTGTTAATGCTCATCTCAGACACCAACAATCAGCTACAGGCCCATGTAAATTGCTACTGAATGCACAGTTTACCTTTTTTCTAGAAATGCAGCTACACATAATCGTTCCCCGGATTAGTTAATGATAAAATAAATGAGTTAGCTATTTTCTCCAGAACATTTGGTCAGCAGTGCACAGTAAAAAGTCCCCCTGCTATGTTTTATGGTGCAATAGTATTACAGGATTTCACGGAAAGGGTGGGGTAAAGAGGACACATTTTTTTCCAATATGTATAAATATTAAAGGAATTTAATTACATACACATACTAAAATTGGACTATGTGTCTGTGAAATGTTCTTTAGCAGTCTGTAAGTGGTTTCTAAGTATTATTTCTAAAAACTTATTTTTTTGACTTGTATTCAACTGCAAAATGAGATGTGCGGTACCGAGTATAAACATCATTAGAGTTCAGACACATGTGGGCTTAAAATCTTTAGAAATGTTTTGTGGAACTCTTTGAAATGAACATCAGT